CACATGACTGCCTGGAGCCCGTGACGTTAGCTCCTCTCTCCCCTTGTTTGAATATTTTCAGTGGGGATTCCACCAGCTCCAGACGCCTCGTGGATTCTTCAACCGCTTTGAAACTATCAGCACGACCTCCCTGGCGCTCGTGTAACTCCAGCGCCGAGTACTGCGCGCAGGTCTGGGCATCAAGTGCCCGCGTAAAGGAATTGGACGTCCAATTCCACAGCATCCTTCGAACAAATAACGGGCATGGCCGAAACGCGCTCCCGCTGAGTGGCTGCCGGCTCTGGCCAGCGACAGCAAAACGCGTTGGAGAAAAATTCCGAGGCGGTGTAAATTTACCGTTACATCAAGACCTGCTTGACCCATCCACGAACTCGTTTGAAAACCGGAAACCAATCTGGGATCGTGCGAGACAATTGGATGAAGCGGAGTCAATGGAAGACCGCTGGCGAACCCCGGTGGGGTTCTGTGGACATTGAAATAACAGAAGCCTCATCAACGACCCCACGATTTCGATGCAAGGCGTTGATCTGCCAAGAAAACTACTCTGCTCCGTCAACCGTTTCAGAAGAGCAACAGGGGTCGCTGAGCAAACCCCTCTCCACAGGTGGAGAATGAAAGACAACCCACAGTGTGACTGTGGCCACCCGAACCAGACAATGGACCATATTGCGAATAACGGCATCCTAGGCCATCGCTCTCCAGCGCTCCTCCTGAAGCTAACGCTCGGCTCACAGACTTAAACTTGGGCGTGTGATTTGCAGGTACTTGCCATAGGCTGGAGGGAGAGAGATCCGCTTGATGTCTATCCTCAACTTCATCAAGGTTTGCTTGGGGGATTCCAAGCTAATTTCTTATCGGGTGTTGTGGGATAGAGTGGAAAACATTGTCGTCAACGGACGAGCCACGATTGAGATCTTCAAATTGCTCCTTACAGCTTCCCTAAGTCACAGTCCCTATGATCACTGTTACGTTGCATTTATGGCTTTATTTTGGTTATTTCGAAAACGTTTTTTGGTTTGGCCATGTTTTTGTTTATTGTAGTACGGAGTTAGACTGATGGCCTTAATCTTAGTTGTCTTGTGGTTGTTGTTGTAGTGCGGAGTTAGACTGATGGCCTTAATCTTAGTTGTCTTGTGGTTGTTGTTGTAGTGCGGAGTTAGACTGATGGCCTTAATCTTAGTTGTCTTGTGGTTGTTGTTGTAGTGCGGAGTTAGACTGATGGCCTTAATCTTAGTTGTCTTGTGGTTGTTGTTGTAGTAACGGAGTTAGACTGATGGCCTTAATCTAAGTTGTCTTGTGGTTGTTGTTGTAGTAACGGAGTTAGACTGATGGCCTTAATCTAAGTTGTCTTGTGGTTGTTGTTGTAGTAACGGAGTTAGACTGATGGCCTTAATCTAAGTTGTCTTGTGGTTGTTGTTGTAGTAACGGAGTTAGACTGATGGCCTTAATCTAAGTTGTCTTGTGGTTGTTGTTGTAGTAACGGAGTTAGACTGATGGCCTTAATCTTAGTTGTCTTGTGGTTGTTGTTGTTGTTTGACTTGCATCCCACTGGGATTTTTGCACACAGCGTTGGTGTACGGTGCTTTTTTCAGGAATATTTTGATGTTTTTTTTTTCCTGGATTTTCTGTTTGCACAGTCACATAGTCACTTTAAGATGTTTTCTTGTTCGTGTTTTAGTTCTTTGTTTTTTTGCACCAGATTCAAGAGCCGAATGGCTCACAGGGCTATACCAATATAAATGGCACTATGGAAATGAACTCTCCTTGATCAGATCTCCTTCCTTCTTAGGCCTTAGAGGAAGATGGTTCCCGAGCAATCGGAACAGAGGCGGTTCTAGGGGGCACTGAAAAGCCCGTGGCATATCATGGATGTCGGCAAGATGCTCTTTCTTGCCTCATCTTCGCACCATTTTATTTTCATATCGCGTGTCCTCCTCTGGACCACTGCCTTAGCTTGTTGGTGATCCCACGTCTTTTGCTTGGAATTGGTAAAAGTTTTGGCAAGCACAAAAAGCCTAGTCGTTGGTGATAATTCAACTCGCGGATCTCCTACTCATTCTCATTTAAGCAGCCTTGATGTTTCTTAGTCGAGACTCCAAGTGTATCTTTACAGGCGTTGACTGTGGTGTTGATTGAAGTTTGACATGAGAATAGGTTTTACCCTTTTTCTGGCAAAAAAAAAAACAGCCGTGTTAAGTTTCGATTTAAAGCTTTCGTGACTGCAGGGATTCATATTTTTGGTTCTTTCGGTAAAGTCACGTAGAAGGGAAACAATAAAACAATAAAAAAAATTATTGTTTTATATTTTTATTATTTAATTGTTTCACTTCTACGTGACTTTACTGAAAGAACCAAGAATATAGGTGTTAAGATATTACAAACACCAAACTGAAACCTTTTACAAGGAATAATGTCTGCATTAACCACAATACTTGTGGTGAAAATACAAAAAAAAACACACTGATAATATGAAGCATTGTCTTTGAAACTGAATCGTTCACACCGGAGACAATTTTGTGTAGTGTATAGTGTAGTGTATAGTGTAGTGTATAGTGTAGTGTATAGTGTAGTGTATAGTGTAGTGTCTAGTGTAGTGAATAGTGGAGTGTGTAGTGTAGTGTATAGTGTAGTGTGTAGTGTATAGTGTAGTGTGTAGTGTATAGTGTAGTGTTTAGTGCAGTGTGTAGTGTAGTGTATAGTGTGTAGTGTATAGTGTAGTGTATAGTGTAGTGTCTCGTGTAGTGTATAGTGTAGTGTGTAGTGTAGTGTATAGTGTAGTGTGTGGTGTATAGTGTAGTGTATAGTGTAGTGTATAGTGTAGTGTCTCGTGGAGTGTATAGTGTAGTGTAGTGTATAGTGTAGTGTGTAGTGTATATTATAGTGTATAGTGTAGTGTATAGTGTAGTGTGTAGTGTAATGTATAGTGTAGTGTATAGTGTAGTGTTTAGTGTAATGTATAGTGTAGTGTATCGTGTAGTGTGTAGTGTATAGTGTAGTGTGTAGTATATAGAGTAGTGTATAGTGTAGTGTATAGTGTAGTGTGTAGTGTAATGTATAGTGTAGTGTGTAGTGTAGTGTATAGTGTAGTGTGTAGTGTATAGTGTAGTGTATAGTGTAGTGTATAGTGTAGTGTATAGTGTAGTGTATAGTGTAGTGTCTCGTGTAGTGTATAGTGTAGTGTGTAGTGTAGTGTATAGTGTAGTGTGTAGTGTATATTGTAGTGTATAGTGTAGTGTATAGTGTAGTGTATAGTGTAGTGTGTAGTGTAATGTATAGTGTAGTGTATAGTGTAGTGTTTAGTGTAATGTATAGTGTAGTGTATAGTGTAGTGTGTAGTGTAGTGTATAGTGTAGTGTATAGTGTAGTGTCTCGTGTAGTGTATAGTGTAGTGTATAGTGTAGTGTATAGTGTAATGTATAGTATAATGTATAGTGTAGTGTATAGTGTAATGTATAGTGTAGTGTATAGTGTAGTGTATAGTGTAGTGTAGTGTGTAGTGTTTAGTGTAGTGTGTAGTGTATAGTGTAGTGTATAGTGTAGTGTATAGTGTAGTGTATAGTGTAATGTATCGTGTAGTGTATAGTGTAATGTATAGTGTAGTGTCTAGTGTAGTGTATAGTGTATAGTGTAGTGTATAGTGTAGTGTATAGTGTAGTGTATAGTGTAGTGTCTCGTGGAGTGTATAGTGTAGTGTAGTGTATAGTGTAGTGTGTAGTGTATATTATAGTGTATAGTGTAGTGTATAGTGTAGTGTGTAGTGTAATGTATAGTGTAGTGTATAGTGTAGTGTTTAGTGTAATGTATAGTGTAGTGTATCGTGTAGTGTGTAGTGTATAGTGTAGTGTGTAGTATATAGAGTAGTGTATAGTGTAGTGTATAGTGTAGTGTGTAGTGTAATGTATAGTGTAGTGTGTAGTGTAGTGTATAGTGTAGTGTGTAGTGTATAGTGTAGTGTATAGTGTAGTGTATAGTGTAGTGTATAGTGTAGTGTATAGTGTAGTGTCTCGTGTAGTGTATAGTGTAGTGTGTAGTGTAGTGTATAGTGTAGTGTGTAGTGTATATTGTAGTGTATAGTGTAGTGTATAGTGTAGTGTATAGTGTAGTGTGTAGTGTAATGTATAGTGTAGTGTATAGTGTAGTGTTTAGTGTAATGTATAGTGTAGTGTATAGTGTAGTGTGTAGTGTAGTGTATAGTGTAGTGTATAGTGTATAGTGTAGTGTCTCGTGTAGTGTATAGTGTAGTGTATAGTGTAGTGTATAGTGTAATGTATAGTATAATGTATAGTGTAGTGTATAGTGTAATGTATAGTGTAGTGTATAGTGTAGTGTATAGTGTAGTGTAGTGTGTAGTGTTTAGTGTAGTGTGTAGTGTATAGTGTAGTGTATAGTGTAGTGTATAGTGTAGTGTATAGTGTAATGTATCGTGTAGTGTATAGTGTAATGTATAGTGTAGTGTCTAGTGTAGTGTATAGTGTAGTGTATAGTGTGGTGTGTAGTGTAGTGTATAGTGTAGTGTATAGTGTAGTGTATAGTGTAGTGTATAGTGTGGTGTGTAGTGTATAGTGTCGTGTGTAGTGTATAGTGTAGTGTATAGTGTAGTGTATTGCATCCTTAGAGCCCAATGTGTTCACTTACCGACCATTCCCCTGTTAATGGCGGGCTGTTGTAGGTTACCGCAAATATGAATAAATGCAATGATTAACCACGTTCTTTCATAGAATGTGTTTATAATGTTACTAATATTAGGGTATTCACATACAATGTTTAAATACTACAAAGTACGTTTCTGCGTGAAAAAGTGTTCACTTTCGATGCTAGCGGAACGAATCAAGCCGTTGACGGGCATTTTGCTAATCCTCGCTTAACCACCAAATCACTAAACGACCGGTTTAATGCAACCAATTACAGTCGTTGAGAGAGGGGGATTCTGCTGTATCGTATAGGGGTTGTAAAGCACAGGTCCGCGATAACGCCCGAGATGATGCGTAACACAGGGCCCATACAAGCTAAACTCTTTTTATTGTTACCAGGCGAGGTCCACTACTGAGGTGTGCAGCTTTTTATCAGAAGCGACGTGGCAAATTCGCAAAGGATAGCTCAACCAAGTGGGCTTATCATCATCGTCATCATCATCGTCGTCATCGTCGTCATCATCATCACCGACAAAATAGTCTGAACACGTGATGATGTTTATTCAAAATTTGGGGCGGAAAAACCGGAGGACCAGGGGTAGAAATCCTCGAGACCACGGGGAGAGAGAGGGAGATGCACACAGGCATCAGGGTCCTGATCGAACCCACAACCTCCTTTATACCAGGTGAGGTAACTAACGTTTCATAGAATTAAGGGTTTCCTGGTGGGTAGCATCATCTAGAAGCATCCAGCAGCATCCCAATGCCCTGTTGTGAGATGATGATGATGATGAGGATCCTCCACCGCGGCAACGGCCGTTACAACCACCGCATATTCCTACTCGCTCGCAACATCGTTCCATTTCCACTCAATCGCGTTACACGTATTAAATTCGTTAAAATAAATAACGTCATATAATTATTAGGGGGCAAAGCACAGTTCGCGTTAACGCACGAGACAAAGACCGAACGTGAGTGAGTGTGTGTGTGGCATCTGCTAGAGGTATCCAGCTGCATCCCCAGCCTTGGCTGATGCAGCTGCCACTACGCGGAGGCAAGCAGCCGTTACAGACCCACCGCTTATTCCTACTGGCACGTAAAACGTAGCTCCGTTCTGCCAGATCGCGTTACGATGGCTAATAAATAGCGTATAGTAAAGCACGGTCAGCGATAACGTGTGAGATGATGTGTAGCAAAGGCTAAAACAACGACTGAGAGGCCCCGTGTGTGCGGGTAGGATGGACTAGAGGTATCCAACTGCATCCCAATGTCTCAGATTATGATGATACACCGCTTATATCCTACTGGCGCGCGACGCAGTTCCGTTCAGCTCGATCGCGTTACACATATATATCCAATTCGCGTTGCGAACACACGAGCGTTATAGGAGAATGAACCGTACGTGTCTGTGTAGCGAATGCGTGAGTGAGTGTGTGTGCGCCTGTGTGTGTGGCGTATACACCAGTGTGCGATGCGTGTATGTGTGTGTGTGCCATGAATGTGCAGCTCGAATCTTCAGCAGGCTGCACAGTGGCCTAGAAAGAGAATACATACACACGAGAAAAAAAGTGAGACATTTAAAACGCGGAAATTCATTCACATTACACCAACATACGTAGTGTATGTAAATTATGTAGTGATAGACATTTCCAATAAGTATTATTTTATTGGTTGGCTTATTCATAGCCAAACAACTCATAGCTCAGTGTAAGCCTTACTTGGTGCAGTGTTGAGTCAATGGGCAGTGTTGAGTCTATGGGACAGTGTTTAGTCTATGGTGCAGTGTTGAGTCTATGGGGCAGTGTTGAGTCTATGGTGCAGTGTTGAGTCTATGGTGCAGTGCTGAGTCTGTGGTGCAGTGTTGAGTCTTTGGTGCAGTGTTGAGTCTATGGGGCAGTGTTGAGTCTATGGGGCAGTGTTGAGTCTATGGTGCAGTGTTTAGTCTATGGTGCAGTGTTAAGTCTATGGTGCAGTGTTGAGTCTATGGGCAGTGTTGAGTCTATGGGCAGTGTTGAGTCTATGGTGTAGTGTTGAGTCTATGGTGCAGTGTTGAGTCTATGTTCAGTGTTGAGACTATGATGCAGTGTTTAGTCTATGGGACAGTGTTTATTCGATGGGACAGTGTTGAGTCTATGGGACAGTGTTGAGTCTATGGTGCAGTGTTGAGTCTATGGGCAGTGTTGAGTCTATGGTGCAGTGTTGAGTTTTTGTTGCAGTGTTGTGTCTATGGTGTAGTGTTGAGTCTATGAGCAATGTTGAGTCTAAGGCAGTGTTGAGTCTATGGTGTAGTGTTGATTCTATGGGACAGAGTTAGGTCTATGGCAGTGTTGAGTCTACGGTGCAGTGTTGAGTCAATGGGCAATGTTGAGTCAATGGCAGTGTTGAGTCTATGGTGCAGTGTTGAGTCAATGGGCAATGTTGAGTCTATGGCAGTGTTGAGTCTACGGTGCAGTGTTGAGTCTATTGTGCAGTGTTGAGTCTATGGTGAAGTGTTGAGTCTATGGCAGTGTTGAGTCTACGGTGCAGTGTTGAGTCTATGGGCAATGTTGAGTCTATGGGCAATGTTGAGTCTACGGTGCATTGTTGAGTCTATGAGCTTTAAGAGAGGAGTGGAAGAAGGTGAATGTACAGGAGGAAATGGAACATCTCAATAAAGATACAGAATCACCGGATTTCAGGGATCAGTCGAGTCTGGAATCGTTGATGCGAAATTTTAAAATCGAATTCAAAACGAATGTCGCCGCAACCCCGGGAAATCACAACAAGTGTTTATACTGCTGGAGGAAATCCGATGAGCTATAAAGCGCTTTGTTCCCCGGATGTGCGTTATGACAGCATGGGGTCAGAACGTTACAACAGCAAACCACGAGAGGAATGCAAAGCACAAGAAACGTTCAACAAATCTCCCAAACACAAATTGAACTAAACCATCACCGCCATCCTTACCAAGCCAGATCCTCACTGAGGTTTATATAATTTCTTTCAGAACCGTGCATGGCCCATCTAAGCAATGGTAGCCACCCAACAACAAGCGACACTACTACACACGCACAAAGTTGCCCATCATCATCTTTTCGAGCGGCGGCGTTCATTCTAAATGTGCAGCGGGAGAAAGCAATCCACGCAACCATCGCTACGGGGACAGGCGGAGAGGGATGCAAACTCAGCAGCAGGCGTCGTCAGAGTCCGGGATCGAACCCCTCAAACTCCTGCATACAAGGCGAGGGAGAATATACACAGTACACTAAACACTACACTACACTATACACTACACTATACACTAAACTATACACACACTACACTACCCACTAAACTATTCATACATTACACTACACTCTAGAGTACATTATACACCACACTATATACTATACACAGACTATACACTACACACTACACCATACACACACTATACACTACACTACCCACTACACTATACACTACCCACTACACTATACATACACTACACTCTATAGTACACTATACACCACACTATATACTATACACAGACTACACACTACACACACTATACCATACACACACTATACACTACACTATACACTACCCACTACACTATACACACACACACTACACTCTATACTAAACTATATACTACACTATGCACTATACTATACACTACACTACTATACACTACACTATACACACACTACACTACACTCTATAGTACACTATAGAGTGTACACAGACTACACACTACACACACTATACCATACATACACTACACACTACACCATACACACACTATACACTACACTCGATACTACACTATAAACTGTACTATCCACTATACTATACACTACACTACTATACAACACACTAAACACAACGCTACTATATACCCCTACTGCACCATGGCACCCAGGCAGACACTCCCCATGTGATCTAGACGGTTACTCCGTCAATTATCTAAAAACATATCATTTGGTTCTCGCGGTAAAGTCACGTAGATAGAAAATAATAATAATAACAGTGACCAAATTAAAATTAAGGAAAAAAATAAAAATATAAAAACCACGACGTTTCGATCGCAACACATGCGACCGCTTGCGTTGCGATTGAAACGTCTTTTTTTTATTTTTCCTAATCTTATTCCTGCAGTCACGAAACTCCAAAGGCACCTACCTTGGTCGAGGCCATTCTCCCGTTTGGCTCTCCCCGTCTGCCCTCATCCGTCATGCCCAGAAGTTCCTCCTTTGGCTCCGCCGCTGCTGCTGCTGCTGCTTTGCTGCTGCTGCTGCTGCCTGTGAAAGACGACGGGTTTGGTTATTGAACGGTTAACAAAGGACAATAATGTAAGTGGTAAGTAGGAACATTTTATATTGCGCGCTCTGTCGAGTCCAGTCCATCACGAATGCGCATTGATCACGCGTTGAAGAGGGCTCTCGGAAACAACAACAACAACAGCAACACTGTTTTGAGTCTTACTCTTCGAGTGTTTCGGTAAAGTCACGTAGATAAGTTTCAACATTTTTGAAAAATATACAAAAAAAAAGACGTTTCGATCGCAACACAAGCGACCGTCTTCAGGTGGAATTATTAAATTTTGAACCCATCTACGTGACTTAACCGAAACACCCAAACATTATGAATTCCTGCAGTCACGAAAGCTCCAAGTCAGGATTTGTTTTGAGTCTATTACGGAACTGGCTCAGACCCAGGGATGGATCCAGAATATCAGCTGGTGGCGCGTCTCCCGGGTCTTTGGGCCCGGGAGACCCAGAAACTGAGGTGGCAGCATCACCTGAGCGCGAGGTTTTCACGGTGGGCTGTGCAGCAGCGGGACGCCGTGAGCCCCGGACCGTGGTCGAACTCGGCTTGGGTCGGTTGAAGCTGGCGTGTGTTGACACAAGAGCCTAGTACTACTACTAGTACTACTACTAGTAGTACTAGTAGTAGTACTACTAGTACTACTAGTACTACATACTACTAGTACATTCTACTAGTGCTACATACTACTAGTACTACTAGTACTACATACTACTAGTACTACTAGTACTTACTACTACATACTACTACTAGTACATACTACTAGTACTACATACCACTAGTACTACTAGTACTACATACTACTAGTACTACTAGCACTACATACTACTAGTACATACTAGTACTACATACTACTACTAGTACATACTACTACTAGTACATACTACTACTAGTACATACTACTAGTACTACATACTACTAGTACTACATACCACTAGTACTACTAGTACTACATACTACTAGTACTACTAGCACTACATACTACTAGTACATACTAGTACTACATACTACTACTAGTACATACTACTACTAGTACATACTACTACTAGTACATACTACTAGTACTACATACTACTAGTACTACATACCACTAGTACTACTAGTACTACATACTACTAGTACTACATACTACTAGTACTACTAGTACTACATACTACTAGTACAACATACTACTAGTACTACTAGTACTACATACTACTAGTACTACCAGTACTACATACTACTAGTACATACTACTAGTACTACATACTACTAGTACTACTAGTACTACATACTACTAGTACTACTAGTACTACATACTACTAGTACTACATACTACTAGTACTACTAGTACTACATACTACTAGTACTACATACTACTAGTACAACATACTACTAGTACTACATACTACTAGTACTACTAGTACTACATACTACTAGTACTTACTACTACATACTACGACTAGTACATACTACTAGTACATACTACTACTAGTACATACTACTAGTACTACATACCACTAGTACTACTAGTACTACATACTACTAGTACTACTAGTACTACATACTACTAGTACATACTAGTACTACATACTAGTACTACTAGTACTACATACTACTAGTACTACATACTACTAGTACATACTAGTACTATCTACCACTAGTACTACTAGTACTACATACTACTAGCACTACATACTACTAGTACATACTAGTACTACATACTAGTACTTACTACTACTAGTACTACATACTACTAGTACTACATACTACTAGTACATACTAGTACTACATACTAGTACATACTACTACTACATACTACTACTAGTACATACTACTACTAGTACATACTACTAGTACTACATACCACTACTAGTACATACTACTAGTACTACATACTACTAGTACATACTACTAGTACTACATACCACTAGTACTACTAGTACTAGATACTACTAGTACTACATACCACTAGTACCACTAGTACTACATACTACTAGCACTACTAGTACTATATACCACTAGTACTACTAGTACTATCTACCACTAGTACTACTAGTACTACATACTAATAGTACTACATACCACTAGTACTACTAGTACAACATACTACTAGTACATACCACTAGTACAACATACTACTAGTACATACTACTAGTACTACATACCACTACTAGTACATACTACTAGTACTACATACTACTAGTACATACTACTAGTACTACATACCACTAGTACTACTAGTACTAGATACTACTAGTACTACATACCACTAGTACCACTAGTACTACATACTACTAGCACTACTAGTACTATATACCACTAGTACTACTAGTACTATCTACCACTAGTACTACTAGTACTACATACTAATAGTACTACATACCACTAGTACTACTAGTACAACATACTACTAGTACATACCACTAGTACAACATACTACTAGTACATACCACTAGTACTACATACCACTAGTACTACATACCACTAGTACTACATACCACTAGTACTACATACCACTAGTACAACATACTACTAGTACATACCGCTAGTACTACATACCACTAGTACTACATAGCACTAGTACTACATACTACTAGGACGGAGCAGATTGATGGCGACTCTTCGAGACGAGTGGGCATAATTTTTACACAATCCTGTAATTAACAGATAGCCAGTGCAGCTCATCACCTATCAAACTCGTGATCCGATTGCATTTCTGCGTCCTAACTATCAGACGAGCTGCAAGCATTCAACACCGACTGAAGTTGGCGCCGATTAACAGTGCTGGTACAGCCGAAGATGCCGTCCACGCGGCTGATGATGAACGCGTGGATGAGCTTCCTCGCAGTCTCCAGAGTTAGAGCATGATGGACTGTGCGCAGTTGTGGATTAATAATAATGAATAAAATCTATAATGGCCATTCCCCCTGGTAAACCATTCACTCTCCCCCCACTCCACGATCCGAATTGCAAAGTTTTTGAAAGTAAGAAAGCGGAGAGGTTATCTTTTTTTTGGCGGAACGTTTCTTTTAGATTTTGGCAGACGCACAAATGAGCGAAGGGTGCAATGCGATCTGGTCCATGAATCCCTCCACGGTAGAGTTCTGCTCTGCCGCCCTTAACGCGTGGCTACTTAGTGGTAGTTGCGTTATGGGTAATAATAGTAATAATGTATACATATATATCTATGATTGAAGCTTTCGTGACCGCAGGAATTACTATACTCATTGGTTCTTTCGGTAAAGTCACGTATGTAGAAATAAAATTAGTTTTAAAAAATATATCACGACGTTTCGAACGCAACACAAGTGCTCGTCTTCAGGTGAAAATGGCGTAAACCACACAGCGAGGGACATCACACACAGAGGGACATCACACACAGAGGGACATCACACACAGAGAGACATCACACACAGAGAGACATCACACACAGAGGGACATTACACATCACACACAGAGAGACATCACACACAGAGGAACATTACACATCACACAGAGAGAGACATCACACACACAGAGACATCACACACAGAGAGAGACATCACACACACAGAGTGGCATCACACACCGAGTGACATCACACAAAGAGGGACATCAAACACAGAGTGACATCACACACAGAGACATCACACACAGCGAGGGACATCACACACAGAGTGACATCACACACAGAGAGACATCACACACAGAGAGAGACATCACACACAGAGGGACATCACACACAGAGAGACATCACACACAGAGTGACATCACACACAGAGGGACATCACACACAGAGAGACATCACACACAGAGTGACATCACACAAAGAGTGACATCACACACAGAGGGACATCACACACACAGAGACATCACACACAGAGTAACATCACACAAAGAGAGACATCACACACAGAGTGACATCACACACAGAGTGACATCACACACAGAGACATCACACACAGCGAGGGACATCACACACAGAGAGACATCACACACAGCGAGGGACATCACACACAGAGGGACATCACACACAGAGGGACATCACAAACAGAGCACACAGAGAGACATCACACACAGAGAGACATTACACATCACACAGAGAGAGACATCACACACACAGAGACATCACACACAGAGAGAGACATCACACACACAGAGTGACATCACACACCGAGTGACATCACACACAGAGAGACATCACACACAGAGTGACATCACACACAGAGACATCACACACAGCGAGGGACATCACACACAGAGGGACATCACACACAGAGAGACATCACACACAGAGAGACATCACACACAGAGTGACATCACACACAGAGTGACATCACACACAGAGAGACATCACACACAGAGGGACATCACACACAGAGCGACATCACACACAGAGAGAGACATCACACACAGAGGGACATCACACACAGAGTGACATCACACACAGAGACATCACACACAGAGAGAGACATCACACACACAGAGACATCACACACAGAGAGAGACATCACACACAGAGAGACATCACACACAGAGAGACATCACACACAGAGAGAGACATCACACAGAGAGAGAGACATCACACACAGAGAGACATCACACAGAGAGAGACATCACACACAGAGAGAGACATCACACACAGAGGGACATCACACACCGAGTGACATCACACACAGAGTGACATCACACAGAGAGAGACATCACACACAGAGGGACATCACACACAGAGAGACATCACACACAGAGAGACATCACACACAGAGAGAGACATCACACACAGAGAGACATCACACACAGAGTGACATCACACACAGAGTGACATCACACAGAGAGAGACATCACACACACAGAGACATCACACACAGAGAGAGACATCACACACAGAGAGAGACATCACACACAGAGACATCACACACAGAGGGACATCACACACAGAGTGACATCACACACAGAGTGACATCACACACAGAGGGACATCACACACAGAGAGACATCACACACACAGAGAGACATCACACACAGAGTGACATCACACACACAGAGTGACATCACACACACCGAGTGACATCACACACCGAGTGACATCACACACAGAGTGACATCACACACACAGAGTGACATCACACACAGAGAGACATCACACACAGAGAGAGACATCACACACACAGAGAGACATCACACACAGAGTGACATCACACACAGAGTGACATCACACACAGAGGGACATCACACACAGAGAGACATCACACACAGAGTGACATCACACACAGAGAGACATCACACACAAAGTGACATCACACACAGAGTGACATCACACACACAGAGACATCACACACACAGAGTGACATCACACACAGAGTGACATCACACACACAGAGTGACATCACGCACAGAGCACACAGAGAACGGCAAACTGCACAGGGCGGTCATCAAATTAAACAAAAGCTTTGGTAGCACTCTGAGTAGTTTTCCTCAGCTCCCCTACAAGATCCTCCCCTGTGTCAACTGCGACACGACTCTCGCTCCCAACACCGGCCACGGTGCCCCCAAAGAGGACTTTCTGAGCGGTTGACGTGGGTCCTAAATTTCATCGGTTTCTTCGTCTGGCTCTCAGCGCTCAGGCGCGCCATTCGACCTGCAACATCAACGTGCTGGCACGTTGATGCCCTCTCTTCAAAATCCTTGTCCGGTGGTCAAGTGACTCTGGCAATTGAGTCACGTGCCTGCCTATTCTGAGAGGTTGATGAAGGGTCATGGACTAACGTACCACCCAGATAATGCTGAGCCAACCGTGACCCGGTAACGCTCGCGACGTCTCACGTCCACTGATCATATCGTGGTGCGAACATATATGCACCGTTTATTAGGAGCACAATCACTGCTGGTTACACTTTAAAACAGATGACAAGACAGCAAAGGCAAAAAAACCTCCCACTTACTTAGCAAAAGAAAAAAACATGAGATTAATAGATTAATAACGGGCGAGAGAAAAAACATAACATGCACCGTAACGAGAAGAACATTTTCAGCGCGGAGAAAATTAAAATAGAAGTAAAGTAAATCCGTTCGGTCGCCATACCCCCAGATACTCATCCCAATATTCTGGCGGATTCATGAGAGCCTTCACAAGGAGGGAGTGGTGGAGTGGCCAAAACGTCACCAGCCAGTTGGACTATAACGTATCAATGCCGATTGTCCAGCGTATGCCTGGACATAATTTGAACAAGCGCATTGATTTGTCAGGATGTGTAGACTGTGGGGGCCTCCACGTGTGAACGTGATTGTACGTAATAATAAAATGTGATCAACAGGGGGTGTATAGCACAGTCCCTGGACATAATTTGAACAAGCGCATTGATTTGTCAGGATGTGTAGACTGTGGGGGCCTCCACGTGTGAACGTGATTGTACGTAATAATAAAATGTGATCAACAGGGGGTGTATAGCACAGTCCCGCGACATTAGTAAGCCACTGGAGCTATGCACTTTCAAAGAGAAACTGGACATAAAACTAATTTAGTTAGAATATCTGCTCGTTGCGGTGTTTAGTTTGTAGTCCTTCTCCCCGCACCTCAGGATTAGCACGGTTGGCTACGTACGGTGTGAAAGAAGTTCAACATAAATGCATTGCACTATCCACTACAATACACACTACACTTTACACAATGCATACAATACACTATACATTACACTATACATACACTACACACTACACGATAAGCTAAACAACACTATACACACACTACACACTTTACATACACTACACTATACACACATGCTACACACTACACTATACACTGCACTACATACGCCACTACAAAACACTACTATACACCGCAATACTATACACTACAATAGTACATACTATACTACACTGAACTATACACTACACTACTATACACTACACTACTATACACTACACTACTAAACAATATACTACACTACTATACACTACGCTACTATACTATACAATAGTACAAACTACGCGACTATACACTACACTATACACTACTATAAACTACACTAATAAACACTACTATACACTGCACTATAGACTACACTAATTTACACTACACTGCTATACATTACATTATGAACTACACTAGTATAAACTATACACACACCATTACCATTTGATCTGCTTCTTGAGCTGAGTCGTCCGGTGTTTGTCCAGGGCGTACAGATCCACGATCCTCATCCTCTCCTCAATCTCCTGGCACGGCACGGCATGAAGCAGAAGAGCGAGAGCTTGGTGTGACCTCATCAGAAGGCACGTCATTTCAGGCAGTGTGTGGCTTATTCCCCTTTAAAGATAACAATTGTAGAACCCTCCGTTGTCCACGCTAATGATGGGGAGGGACGGCCGCGGATAATTCAACGTCGTTGATAATCCGCGGATCTCTATGCCAAAAACCGATAGATAGATAGATGCAAATCGCTCACCTACTTACTCACCAACTCACTCACTCACTCAATGACACACTCACCCACTCACTCACTGACTTACTCACTCACCCACTCGCCCAGCCACCTTTCCACCCACTCACACACTCACTCACTCACCCACTCAATGACACACTCACTCACACACCCACTCACTCACTCACCCACTCAATGACACACCCACTCACACACCCACTCACACACCCACTCACTCACTCACACAACCACTTACTCACCCACTCAATGACACACTCACCCGCTCACTCACTGACTCACTCACTCACTCCCCCACTCGCCCAGCCACCTTTCCACCCACTCACACACTCACTCACTCACCCACTCAATGAAACACTCACTCACACACCCACTCACTCACTCACCCACTCAACGACACACCCACTCACACACCCACTCACACACCCACTCACTCACTCACACAACCACTTACTCACCCACTCAATGACACACTCACCCGCTCACTCACTGACTCACTCACTCACCCACTCACCCGACCACCTTTCCACCCACTCATACACCCACTCACTCACTCACCCACTCAATGACACACTCACTCACACACCACAATTACTCACCCACTCAATTACACACTCACTGACTTACTCACTCACTCACCCACTCACCCGACCACATTTCCACCCACTCACTCACCCAATCAATGACACACTCACTCACACACCCACTTACTCACCTACTCAATTACACACTCACTCACTCACTGATTCACTCACTCACCCACTCAGCTAACCACCTTTCCACCCACTCACACACCCACTCACTCACTCACCCAACCACCTTTCACTCATTCACCCACTCACCCAACCACCTTTTCACTCACTCGCTCACCCACTCAATCAACCACCTTTTCACTCACTCACTCACTCACCCACTCACCCAACCACCTTCTCACTCACTCACTTACTCACTCACTCAACCAACTTTTCACTCACTCACTCACTCACCCAACCACCTTTTCACTCACTCACTCACTCACCCAACCACCTTTTCACCCACTCACCCAACCACCTTTTCACTCACTCACTCACTCACCCAACCACCTTTTCACCCACCCACCCACCAACTCACCCACTCACCCACCCACCCACTAACTCACTCACTCAATGACACACTCACTCACACACCCACTTACTCACTTACTTAATTACACACTCACTGACCCACTCACTCACTCACTCACCCACTCACCCAACCACCTTTCCACCCACTCACTCACCCGCCCACTCACCCACCCACTCACTGACACTCACTGACACACTCACTCACTCACCGACTCACTCACCCACTCACCCAGCCGCATATCCACCCACACACCCACCAACTCACTGACACTCACCTCCCGTGTGAGCTCAGCGTGCTGGTAAATGTGCGAGGGTTCGCTGCTGGAGCTGCCCACGTCGTTGACGCTCGCCAGTAGGGAGGGGGCTGAAGGCGGCGAGCGCCGTTGCTGGTAGCGCGTCGTGGTGGGAGCGTCGCTCTCGTACGCCGGGTTGTACTTCACCGCGTCCTCCGGCGACGTCGAAAGGCTCCCGCCGCAATCACCCGAGCTGCTGACAAGCACGCCCAAGAGAAAGAGATAGAGAGAGAGGTACTGCACCTTAGCCTCAACACTGCACCGTAGGCTCACCCGACACTGCACCGTAGGCTCAACGCTGACCCATAGACTCGACACTGCTCGTATACTCAGTTTAGATTGGAAGGTATAATGTTGTGATGTATAGTAGTCCAGGTTGTAGCATAGTTATAGCGCAACGCATGACAGAGCAGCGCACCATGGCTGCTTCCTCCTCTTCCCCCCACCCCCCCCCACCCTCCTCTGTTCCGAACATAGATGGACTCGTCCGTCTGAACACAAGCTCGTCGCTCTCCGTGGTGTTAATCCCTCAGGCTAACATCATGCTAATCCCCCAGTTACTGCTAGAGGTGATGGTAGCAGTGGGCAGCGATGGTTCTGGTGGTGGGCTTTCACCAATAAAAGGGCTTCCAGGTCTAAAATGGATACATTACAGCCAGTTATGACTTGAACTGGCTGATAACGTCCTTCCAGTGATTGCTGAGTTTGTACCCATCTTCTCGGTTGAAATTGTGCCTATGTCTGTATATATGGATGGCTCAATGAACAAATCTGTGTTGATAGCCGGTGGGTTTGCACGTTACCTTCGTCTTAGAGAAATCAATTTACTGTGAGCCAGCCTCATTAAAATAATGATCAGCAACGGCCGAAGTATTGGTCCTACCGTCTTTAAAATCTGGCTTCTGTTCACAAACACGGTCCAAGACATGTCGCTTAGTTTCCACAATGCAACTGCTGCCACAGATACAGCTTATTTGGTGGACGCTGGGATATTGCATGTCAGGGATCTTGTCCTTCATACATGGGATTAGATCACGAATGTTTTCTATGGGCAGTGTAGAGTCTATGAGCAGTGTTGAGTTTATGGTGCAGTTTTGAGTGAGTCTATGGTGCAGTGCTAAGTCTATGGTGCAGTGTTGAGTTTATGGGCGGTGTTGAGTCTATGGTGCAGTGTTGAGTCTATGGTGCAGTGTTGAATCTATGGTGCAGTGTTGAGTCTGTGGGCAGTGTTGAATCTATGGTGCAGTGTTGAGTCTGTGGGCAGTGTTGAGTCTATGGTGCAGTGTTGAGTCTATGGGGCAGTGTTGAGTCTATGGTGCAGTGTTGAGTCTATGGGGCTGTGGAGGGAATTAATTAATACCACTCGATAATGGGGCATTGTGTCCTTCCTTTGTTCGTGGCAGCCATAAAGCGCGAGTAGCTGAGTCGGCATGCAGACAACGCTACGCTCTGCATCTTTGTTCAACGGCTAGCCAAAAGCTACAAAGATGACCAGAGTGGACCGGAGTGTACGGCGATTCATGCTCCTTGATCACCTCCGAGTGGTGCGTGTGTGAGCGGTAGTGTAGTAGCGGTTAGCGCGCTGATCTCAGAACCTGGCGACCCGGGTTCGATTCCCGCTCACGGCCAACACCGGTGACGATTATCTGAACCGGTCCTGGGCCTCCCCTAGGTCGACTCAGCCTCAGACACATAAGCAGAGAGTGTCTGTGTTTTGTCTCTATCTCAAAATTAGCAATCTTTGGAAGAACGTAATAAACCAGGTAGGGTGTTGACTGTTATGTTAGCCGACTCTCTGTGTTGTATTGCATTATATTTCTAAGTTTACTCGGTTTGTTTTCTCTTTCATTTCTACCTGATGATGATTGCTTGTGTTGCGATATGAAACGTCGTATGCTAATATTTAATTTAGTTTCTTTCTACGTGACTTTACTGAAATAATCAACGAGTAATCCCTGCAGTGAGGAATGCTCCAAATCAAGTTTCATAGGTGCTACTCGCGATCAGCAAATGCCCTCTCTTAGAGGCTACATGGGTGGTGGGATCCTTGTCTTTGTGAGCTCTTACAATGACGAGCTGCCACCTCCTCCACCTCTCTCCTCCCCCTTGTCTCTCCGTGAGCCCCTGAGTGCGCGCGCCACCACGAACACGATGGCCGAGCAGACGAGCAGGAAGCCGGCGACGGACGCGAGGGAGATGCCCACCACCAGCGGCTCGGACACAAACTCCTGGCAGCGTTCGCCACGGTACCACCAATTCTCTCCCACACGGCACCTGCACAACTCCGGAGGGCGGGTGGAGGAGAAGCGTGGTGGTGATGGTGGTGGTGGGATGGTGGTGGGTTGGGGTGGACAGGGGGGTCAGAGACAGGTGTGTAGTAGTGTATAGTGTAGTGCACAGGTAGTGTGTTGTATCGAGTAGTGTATAGTTGCGCAGTATATAGTGGAGTGTATAGCAGTGTAGTGTATAGTGTAGTGTGCTGTGTATAGTGTTGAGTATATAGCAGTGTAGTGTGTGCTGTGTATAGCGTTGTGTATAGCAGCGTAGTGTGTAGTGTAGTGTGTGTTGTTGTATAGCGTTGTGTATATCAGTGTAGTGTATAGTGTAGCGTGTGCTGTGTATAGTATTGAGTATAGCAGTGTAGTGTATGGTGCATAGCGTGTGCTGTGTATAGTATTGAGTATAGCAGTGTAATGTATAGTGTAGCGTGTGCTGTGAATAGTATTGAGTATAGCAGTGTAGTGTGTAGTGCATAGCATGTGCTGTGTATAGTAATGAGTATAGCAGTGTAGTGTATAGTGCATAGCGTGTGCTGTGTATAGTATTGAGTATAGCAGTGTAGTGTATAGTGTAGCGTGTGCTGTGTATAGTATTGAGCATAGCAGTGTAGTGTATAGTGTAGTGTGTGCTGTGTATAGTATTGAGTATAGCAGTGTAGTGTATAGTGTAGCGTGTGCTGTGTATAGTATTGAGTATAGCAGTGTAGCGTATAGTGCATAGCGTATGCTGTGTATAGTATTGAGTATAGCAGTGTAGTGTATAGTGCATGGCGTGTGCTGTGTATAGTATTGAGTATAGCAGTGTAGTGTATAGTGCATAGCGTGTGCTGTGTATAGTATTGAGCATAGCAGTGTAGTGTATAGTGTAGCGTGTGCTGTGTATTGTATTGAGTATAGCAGTGCAGTGTATAGTGCACAGCGTGTGCTGTGTATTGTTTTGAGTATAGCAGTGTAGTGTATAGTGTAGCGTGTGCTGTGTATAGTATTGAGCATAGCAGTGTAGTGTGTAGTGCATAGCGTATGCTGTGTATAGTATTGAGTATAGCAGTGTAGTGTATAGTGCATAGCATATGCTGTGTATAGTATTGAGTATAGCAGTGTAGTGTAAAGTGTAGTGTGTGCTGTGTATAGTATTGAGTATAGCAGTGTAGTGTATAGTGCATAGCGTGTGCTATGTATTGTATTGAGTATAGCAGTGTAGTGTGTAGTGTAGTGTGTGCTGTGTATAGTATTGAGTATAGCAGTGTAGTGTATAGTGCATAGCGTGTGCTGTGTATAGTATTGCGTATAGCAGTGTAGTGTATAGTGTAGCGTGTGTTGTGTATTGTATTGAGTATAGCAGTGTAGTGTATAGTGTAGCGTGTGCTGTGTATGATATTGAGTATAGCAGTGTAGTGTGTAGTGCATGGCGTGTGTTGTGTATAGTATTGAGTATAGCAGTGTAGTGTATAGTGTAGCGTGTGCTGTGTATAGTATTGAGTATAGCAGTGTAGTGTATAGTGTAGTGTGTGCTGTGTATAGTATTGAGTATAGCAGCATAGTGCATAGCGTATGCTGTGTATAGTATTGAGTATAGCAGTGTATAGTGCATGGCGTGTGCTGTGTATAGTATTGAGTATAGCAGTGTAGTGTATAGTGTAGCGTGTGCTGTGTATAGTATTGAGTATAGCAGTGTAGTGTATAGCGTAGCGTGTGCTGTGTATAGTATTGAGTATAGCAGTGTAGTGTATAGTGCATAGCGTGTGCTGTGTATTGTATTGAGTATAGCAGTGTAGTGTATAGTGTAGTGTGTGCTGTGTATAGTATTGAGTATAGCAGTGTAGTGTATAGTGCATAGCGTATGCTGTGTATAGTATTGAGTATAGCAGTGTAGTGTATAGTGTAGCATGTGCTGTGTATAGTATTGAGTATAGCAGTGTAGCGTATAGTACATAGCGTATGCTGTGTATAGTATTGAGCATAGCAGTGTAGTGTATAGTGCATAGCGTGTGCTGTGTATAGTATTGAGCATAGCAGTGTAGTGTATAGTGCATAGCGTGTGCTGTGTATTGTATTGAGTATAGCAGTGTAGTGTATAGTGCATAGCGTGTGCTGTGTATATTATTGAGTATAGCAGTGTAGTGTATAGTGCATAGCGTGTGCTGTGTATTTTATTGAGTATAGCAGTGTAGTGTATAGTGTAGCGTTTGTTGTGTATAGTATTGAGCATAGCAGTGTAGTGTATAGTGCATAGCGTATGCTGTGTATTGTATTGAGTATAGCAGTGTAGTGTGTAGTGCATAGCATAGTGTATAGTATTGAGTATAGCAGTGTGGTGTATAGTGTAGCGTATGATGTGTATAGTATTGAGTATAGCAGTGTAGTGTATAGTGTAGCGTGTGCTGTGTATTGTATTGAGTATAGCAGTGTAGTGTATAGTGGAGCGTGTGCTGTGTATAGTATTGAGTATAGCAGTGTAGTGTATAGTGCATAGCGTATGCTGTTTATAGTATTGAGTATAGCAGTGTAGCGTATAGTGCATAGCGTATGCTGTGTATAGTATTGAGTATAGCAGTGTAGTGTATAGTGTAGCGTGTGCTGTGTATAGCATTGAGCATAGCAGTGTAGTGTATAGTGTAGCGTGTGTTGTGTATTGCATTGAGTATAGCAGTGTAGCGTATAGTGCATAGCGTATACTGTGTATAGTATTGAGCATAGCAGTGTAGTGTATAGTGCATAGCGTGTGCTGTGTATAGTATTGAGTATAGCAGTGTAGTGTATAGTGTAGTGTGTGCTGTGTATTGTATTGAGTATATCAGTGTAGTGTATAGTGTAGCGTGTGTTGTGTATTGTATTGAGTATAGCAGTGTAGTGTATAGTGTAGCGTGTGCTGTGTATGATATTGAGTATAGCAGTGTAGTGTGTAGTGCATGGCGTGTGTTGTGTATAGTATTGAGTATAGCAGTGTAGCGTATAGTGCATAGCGTATGCTGTGTATAGTATTGAGTATAGCAGTGTAGTGTATAGTGTAGCGTGTGCTGTGTATAGTATTGAGCATAGCAGTGTAGTGTATAGTGTAGCGTGTGTTGTGTATTGCATTGAGTATAGCAGTGTAGCGTATAGTGCATAGCGTATACTGTGTATAGTATTGAGCATAGCAGTGTAGTGTATAGTGCATAGCGTGTGCTGTGTATAGTATTGAGTATAGCAGTGTAGTGTATAGTGTAGCGTGTGTTGTGTATAGTATTGAGTATAGCAGTGTAGTGTGTAGTGCATAGCATATATAGTGTATAGTATTGAGTATAGCAGTGTGGTGTATAGTGTAGCGTATGCTGTGTATAGTATTGAGTATAGCAGTGTAGTGTATAGTGTAGCGTGTGCTGTGTATTGTATTGAGTATATCAGTGTAGTCACTGTAGTGTATAGTGTAGTGTGTGCTGTGTATAGTATTGAGTATAGCAGTATAGTGTGTAGTGTAGCGTGTGCTGTATATAGTATTGAGTATAGCAGTGTAGCGTATAGTGTAGCGTGTGCTGTGTATAGTATTGAGTATAGCAGTGTAGTGTATAGTGTAGTGTGTGCTGTGTATAGTATTGAGTATAGCAGTGTAGTGTATAGTGTAGCGTGTGCTGTGTATAGTATTGAGTATAGCAGTGTAGCGTATAGTGTAGCGTGTGCTGTGTATAGTATTGAGTATAGCAGTGTAGTGTATAGTGCATGCTGTGTATAGCATTGAGTATAGCAGTGTAGTGTATAGTGTAGTGTAGTGTGTGCTGTGTATAGTATTGAGTATAGCAGTGTAGTGTATAGTGTAGCGTGTGCTGTGTATAGTATTGAGTATAGCAGTGTAGTGTATAGTGTAGTGTGTGCTGTGTATAGTATTGAGTATAGCAGTGTAGTGTATAGTGTAGTGTAGTGTGTGCTGTGTATAGTATTGAGTATAGCAGTGTAGTGTTTAGTGCGTGGCGTGTGCTGTGTATTGTATTGAGTATAGCAGTGTAGTGTATAGTGTAGCGTGTGCTGTGTATAGTATTGAGTATAGCAGTGTAGCGTATAGTGCATAGCGTATGCTGTGTATAGTATTGAGTATAGCAGTGTAGTGTATAGTGTAGCGTGTGCTGTGTATAGTATTGAGTATAGCAGTGTAGTGTATAGTGTAGTGTAGTGTGTGCTGTGTATAGTATTGAGTATAGCAGTGTAGTGTGTAGTGCATAGCATGTGCTGTGTATAGTATTGCGTATAGCAGTGTAGTGTATAGTGTATAGTGCATGCTGTGTATAGTATTGAGTATAGCAGTGTAGTGTATAGTGTAGTGTGTGCTGTGTATAGTATTGAGTATAGCAGTGTAGTGTATAGTGCATAGCGTGTGCTGTGTATAGTATTGAGTATAGCAGTGTAGTGTATAGTGCATAGCGTGTGCTGTGTATAGTATTGAGTATAGCAGTGTAGTGTATAGTGTAGTGTGTGCTGTGTATAGTATTGAGTATAGCAGTGTAGTGTATAGTGTAGTGTAGTGTGTGCTGTGTATAGTATTGAGTATAGCAGTGTAGTGTTTAGTGCATGGCGTGTGCTGTGTATTGTATTGAGTATAGCAGTGTAGTGTATAGTGTAGCGTGTGCTGTGTATAGTATTGAGTATAGCAGTGTAGCGTATAGTGCATAGCGTATGCTGTGTATAGTATTGAGTATAGCAGTGTAGTGTATAGTGTAGCGTGTGCTGTGTATAGTATTGAGTATAGCAGTGTAGTGTATAGTGTAGTGTAGTGTGTGCTGTGTATAGTATTGAGTATAGCAGTGTAGTGTGTAGTGCATAGCATGTGCTGTGTATAGTATTGCGTATAGCAGTGTAGTGTATAGTGTATAGTGCATGCTGTGTATAGTATTGAGTATAGCAGTGTAGTGTATAGTGTAGTGTAGTGCGTGCTGTGTATAGTATTGAGTATAGCAGTGTAGTGTATAGTGCATAGCGTGTGCTGTGTATAGTATTGAGTATAGCAGTGTAGTGTATAGTGCATAGCGTGTGCTGTGTATAGTATTGAGTATAGCAGTGTAGTGTATAGTGTAGTGTATAGTGCATGCTGTGTATAGTATTGAGTATAGCAGTGTAGTGTATAGTGTAGCGTGTGCTGTGTATAGTATTGAGTATAGCAGTGTAGTGTATAGTGTAGTGTGTGCTGTGTATAGTATTGAGTATAGCAGTGTAGTGTATAGTGTAGTGTGTGCTGTGTATAGTATTGAGTATAGCAGTGTAGTGTATAGTGCATGCTGTGTATAGTATTGAGTATAGCAGTGTAGTGTATAGTGTATGCTGTGTATAGTATTGAGTATAGCAGTGTAGTGTATAGTGCATAGCGTGTGCTGTGTATAGTATTGAGTATAGCAGTGTAGTGTATAGTGCATGCTGTGTATAGTATTGAGTATAGCAGTGTAGTGTATAGTGCATGCTGTGTATAGTATTGAGCATAGCAGTGTAGTGTATAGTGTAGCGTGTGTTGTGTATTGCATTGAGTATAGCAGTGTAGTGTATAGTGCATAGCGTGTGCTGTGTATAGTATTGAGTATAGCAGTGTAGTGTATAGTGCATAGCGTGTGCTGTGTATAGTATTGAGTATAGCAGTGTAGTGTATAGTGTAGCGTGTGCTGTGTATAGTATTGAGTATAGCAGTGTAGTGTATAGTGTAGCGTGTGCTGTGTATTGCATTGAGTATAGCAGTGTAGTGTATAGTGCATAGCGTGTGCTGTGTATAGTATTGAGTATAGCAGTGTAGTGTGTAGTGCATAGCATGTGCTGTGTATAGTATTGAGTATAGCAGTGTAGTGTATAGTGTAGCGTGTGTTGTGTATTGCATTGAGTATAGCAGTGTAGTGTATAGTGCATGCTGTGTATAGTATTGAGTATAGCAGTGTAGTGTATAGTGTAGCGTGTGCTGTGTATAGTATTGAGTATAGCAGTGTAGTGTATAGTGTAGTGTGTGCTGTGTATAGTATTGAGTATAGCAGTGTAGTGTATAGTGTAGTGTGTGCTGTGTATAGTATTGAGTATAGCAGTGTAGTGTATAGTGCATGCTGTGTATAGTATTGAGTATAGCAGTGTAGTGTATAGTGTATGCTGTGTATAGTATTGAGTATAGCAGTGTAGTGTATAGTGCATAGCGTGTGCTGTGTATAGTATTGAGTATAGCAGTGTAGTGTATAGTGCATGCTGTGTATAGTATTGAGTATAGCAGTGTAGTGTATAGTGCATGCTGTGTATAGTATTGAGCATAGCAGTGTAGTGTATAGTGTAGCGTGTGTTGTGTATTGCATTGAGTATAGCAGTGTAGTGTATAGTGCATAGCGTGTGCTGTGTATAGTATTGAGTATAGCAGTGTAGTGTATAGTGCATAGCGTGTGCTGTGTATAGTATTGAGTATAGCAGTGTAGTGTATAGTGTAGCGTGTGCTGTGTATAGTATTGAGTATAGCAGTGTAGTGTATAGTGTAGCGTGTGCTGTGTATTGCATTGAGTATAGCAGTGTAGTGTATAGTGCATAGCGTGTGCTGTGTATAGTATTGAGTATAGCAGTGTAGTGTGTAGTGCATAGCATGTGCTGTGTATAGTATTGAGTATAGCAGTGTAGTGTATAGTGTAGCGTGTGTTGTGTATTGCATTGAGTATAGCAGTGTAGTGTATAGTGCATGCTGTGTATAGTATTGAGTATAGCAGTGTAGTGTATAGTGCATGCTGTGTATATTATTGAGTATAGCAGTGTAGCGTATAGTGCATAGCGTGTGCTGTGTATAGTATTGAGTATAGCAGTGTAGTGTATAGTGTAGTGTGTGCTGTGTATAGTATTGAGTATAGCAGTGTAGTGTATAGTGTAGTGTGTGCTGTGTATAGTATTGAGTATAGCAGTGTAGTGTATAGTGCATAGCGTGTGCTGTGTATAGTATTGAGTATAGCAGTGTAGTGTATAGTGCATAGCGTGTGCTGTGTATAGTATTGAGTATAGCAGTGTAGTGTATAGTGTAGTGTGTGCTGTGTATAGTATTGAGTATAGCAGTGTAGTGTATAGTGTAGTGTGTGCTGTGTATAGTATTGAGTATAGCAGTGTAGTGTTTAGTGCATGGCGTGTGCTGTGTATTGTATTGAGTATAGCAGTGTAGTGTATAGTGTAGCGTGTGCTGTGTATAGTATTGAGTATAGCAGTGTAGCGTATAGTGCATAGCGTATGCTGTGTATAGTATTGAGTATAGCAGTGTAGTGTATAGTGTAGCGTGTGCTGTGTATAGTATTGAGTATAGCAGTGTAGTGTATAGTGTAGTGTAGTGTGTGCTGTGTATAGTATTGAGTATAGCAGTGTAGTGTGTAGTGCATAGCATGTGCTGTGTATAGTATTGCGTATAGCAGTGTAGTGTATAGTGTATAGTGCATGCTGTGTATAGTATTGAGTATAGCAGTGTAGTGTATAGTGTAGTGTAGTGCGTGCTGTGTATAGTATTGAGTATAGCAGTGTAGTGTATAGTGCATAGCGTGTGCTGTGTATAGTATTGAGTATAGCAGTGTAGTGTATAGTGCATAGCGTGTGCTGTGTATAGTATTGAGTATAGCAGTGTAGTGTATAGTGTAGTGTATAGTGCATGCTGTGTATAGTATTGAGTATAGCAGTGTAGTGTATAGTGTAGCGTGTGCTGTGTATAGTATTGAGTATAGCAGTGTAGTGTATAGTGTAGTGTGTGCTGTGTATAGTATTGAGTATAGCAGTGTAGTGTATAGTGTAGTGTGTGCTGTGTATAGTATTGAGTATAGCAGTGTAGTGTATAGTGCATGCTGTGTATAGTATTGAGTATAGCAGTGTAGTGTATAGTGTATGCTGTGTATAGTATTGAGTATAGCAGTGTAGTGTATAGTGCATAGCGTGTGCTGTGTATAGTATTGAATATAGCAGTGTAGTGTATAGTGCATGCTGTGTATAGTATTGAGTATAGCAGTGTAGTGTATAGTGCATGCTGTGTATAGTATTGAGCATAGCAGTGTAGTGTATAGTGTAGCGTGTGTTGTGTATTGCATTGAGTATAGCAGTGTAGTGTATAGTGCATAGCGTGTGCTGTGTATAGTATTGAGTATAGCAGTGTAGTGTATAGTGTAGCGTGTGCTGTGTATTGCATTGAGTATAGCAGTGTAGTGTATAGTGCATAGCGTGTGCTGTGTATAGTATTGAGTATAGCAGTGTAGTGTATAGTGTAGCGTGTGCTGTGTATAGTATTGAGTATAGCAGTGTAGTGTATAGTGTAGCGTGTGCTGTGTATTGCATTGAGTATAGCAGTGTAGTGTATAGTGCATAGCGTGTGCTGTGTATAGTATTGAGTATAGCAGTGTAGTGTGTAGTGCATAGCATGTGCTGTGTATAGTATTGAGTATAGCAGTGTAGTGTATAGTGTAGCGTGTGTTGTGTATTGCATTGAGTATAGCAGTGTAGTGTATAGTGCATGCTGTGTATAGTATTGAGTATAGCAGTGTAGTGTATAGTGCATGCTGTGTATAGTATTGAGTATAGCAGTGTAGCGTATAGTGCATAGCGTATGCTGTGTATATTATTGAGTATAGCAGTGTAGTGTATAGTGTAGTGTGTGCTGTGTATAGTATTGAGTATAGCAGTGTAGTGTATAGTGCATGCTGTGTATAGTATTGAGTATAGCAGTGTAGTGTATAGTGCATGCTGTGTATATTATTGAGTATAGCAGTGTAGTGTATAGTGTAGTGTGTGCTGTGTATAGTATTGAGTATAGCAGTGTAGTGTATAGTGTAGCGTGTGCTGTGTATAGTATTGAGTATAGCAGTGTAGTGTATAGTGCATGCTGTGTATAGTATTGAGTATAGCAGTGTAGTGTATAGTGTAGTGTAGTGTGTGCTGTGTATAGTATTGAGTATAGCAGTGTAGTGTATAGTGTAGTGTATAGTGCAGTGTATAGTGCATGCTGTGTATAGTATTGAGTATAGCAGTGTAGCGTGTAGTGCATGGCGTGAGCTGTTGCTCATAGCGTTGTTATCGTACAAGCGGCGTAGCGTCGAAACGCGCTCGGTAGTCCAGGCTACAGGCGCGGTTTTTCCCCACCTCACCTGCAGATGGCGCCCTGCCCGTCGACGACGTCACACTTGCCGTCGTGCAGGCAGTAGGAGGGGTCGAGGTCGCAGAGGCTCTGGCAGGGCAGGCCGCCCACGCTGGCGTAGCCCGGGCGGCAGACGCACTCCGCCTCGCCCGACCAGCGGTTCGGCAGGCAGTCCGAGAAGTCGTTGCACGCCTCGAATTTGCACGGGTCCGCCTGGTCGCCTGTCCGTTGTTGTTTGTTTGTTTGTGTTTGCGGCAGGGTGTGTGTGGGGGGGGGTGGAGGGTGGGTGGGTAGGTAGGTGGAGGTGGAGGTGGGGTGGGTAGGTGGGGGTGGGGTGGGTGGGGGTGGGGTGGGGTGGGTGGGGGTGGGGTGCGTGGGGGTGGGGTGGGTATGTGGGGGTGGGGTGGGTAGGTGGGGGTGGGGTGGGTGGGGGTGGGGTGCGTGGGGGTGGGTGGGGGTGGAGTGGAGTGGGTAGGTGGGGGTGGGGTGGGTAGGTGGGGGTGGGGTGGGTAGGTGGGGGTGGGGTGGGTGGGGGTGGGGGTAGGGTGGGTGGGAATGGGGTGCGTGGGGGTGGGTTGGGTAGGTGGGGTGGGTAGGTGGGGGTGGGGTGGGTGGGGGTAGGGTGGGTGGGGGTGGGGGTAGGGTGGGTGGGAATGGGGTGCGTGGGGGTGGGGTCGGTAGGTGGGGGTGGGATGGAGTGGGTAGGTGGGGGTGGGGTGGGTAGGTGGGGGTGGGTGGGGGTGGGGTGTGTAGGTGGGGGTGGGGTGGGTGGGGGTGGGGTGCGTGGGGGTGGGGTGGGTATGTGGGGGTGGGGTGGGTAGGTGTGGGTGGGGTGCGTGGGGGTGGAGTTGGTAGGTATGGGTGCAGTGGGTGGGGGTGGGAGCGGGGTGGGGGGGGGTTGGTAGGTGGGGGTGGGAGTGGGTGGGAGTGGGATGATGGTGTGTGGGAGTGGTTATCAGTGTGTGGGGGTGAAGTGAGGGTGGTAGTAGAAGTGGGTGAGGAAGGGGAGTTGAGGCGTTAGTGAGTGAAGTTGTGTTTATCATCCGGATGTAACACCACTTTTGTTTCTGGATACTGTGTTATTTTCTAATTGCTTATGCCTCAAAAGTAAAGAAAATGGCTGTTATCCCCACAGACTATGCTTTTATGACCAGGACCTCACGTGAAGGAGTGACACAAATGCACACGTTTTCTAAAGAAAAAATAGGTACATTTCGAAATATCACTGTCCTCGTCACAAAGTTTGTATGGATTAGTAGCCATTTTTTGTACTTTTGAGGCATACGCAATTAGAAAATAACACTTACTACCCAGGAACAGGAAACTATAATTTTTGTTGCACAGTGATTTGTTATAAAAATTGGCACTGCAAGCGCATTTTGTGTGGGTTACATTTTCGTTGCCATCCACAACATTAGCGAAATCATGTTCATCTTAATTGTATTCCATAACAATGGCTAAATCATTATCGTCATCATCATGATTGTAATCCGCAGAAATAGATAAATTATCATCATCATCATCGAGCAGTGTTGAGTCTATGGGTAGTGTAGAGTCTATGGTGTAGTGTTGAGTCTATGGTGCAGTGTTGAGTCTATGGTTCAGTGTTGAGTCTTTGGTGCAGTGTTGAGTCTTTGGTGCAGTGTTGAGTCTTTGGTGCAGTGTTCAGTCTATGGTGCAGTGTTGAGTCTATGGGCCCTGTTGAGTCTATTGTGCAGTGTTGAGTCTATGGTGCAGTGTTGAGTCTATGGTGCAGTATTGAGTCTATGGTGCAGTGTTGAGTCTTTGGTGCAGTGTTGAGTCTATGGTGCAGTGCTGAGTCTATGGTGCAGTATTGAGTCTATGGTGCAGTGTTGAGTCTATGGTGCAGTGTTGAGTCTATGGTGCAGTGCTGAGTCTATGGTGCAGTGTTGAGTCTTTGGTGCAGTGTTGAGTCTATGGTGCAGTGTTGAGTGTATGGTGCAGTGTTGAGTCTATGGTGCAGTTTTGAGTCTTTGGTGCAGTGTTGAGTCTATGGTGCAGTGTTGAGTCTATGGTGCAGTGCTGAGTCTATGGTGCAGTATTGAGTCTTTGGTGCAGTGTTGAGTCTTTGGTGCAGTGTTGAGTCTATGGTGCAGTGTTGAGTCTTTGGTGCAGTGTTGAGTCTTTGGTGCAGTGTTGAGTCTTTCGTGCAGTGTTGAGTCTTTGGTGCAGTGTTGAGTCTTTTGTGCAGTGTTGAGTCTATGGTGCAGTGTTGAGTCTTTTGTGCAGTGTTGAGTCTTTGGTGCAGTGTTGAGTCTTTGGTGCAGTGTTGAGTCTTTGGTGCAGTGTTGAGTCTATGGTGCAGTGTTGAGTCTATGGTGCAGTGCTGAGTCTATGGTGCAGTATTGAGTCTTTGGTGCAGTGTTGAGTCTTTGGTGCAGTGTTGAGTCTATGGTGCAGTGTTGAGTCTTTGGTGCAGTGTTGAGTCTTTGGTGCAGTGTTGAGTCTTTGGTGCAGTGTTGAGTCTTTGTGCAGTGTTGAGTCTATAGTGCAGTGTTGAGTCTATGGTGCAGTGTTGAGTCTTTGTGCAGTGTTGAGTCTATAGTGCAGTGTTGAGTCTATGGTGCAGTGTTGAGTCTATGGTGCAGTGTTGAGTCTATGGTGCATTGCTGAGTCTATGGTGCAGTATTGAGTCTATGGTGCAGTGTTGAGTCTTTGGTGCAGTGTTGAGTCTATGGTGCAGTGTTGAGTCTATGGTGCAGTATTGAGTCTATGGTGCAGTGTTGAGTCTTTGGTGCAGTGTTGAGTCTATGGTGCAGTGTTGAGTCTATGGTGCAGTATTGAGTCTATGGTGCAGTGTTGAGTCTATGGTGCAGTGTTGAGTCTATGGGGCAGTGTTGAGTCTATGGTGCAGTGTTGAGTCTATGGTGCAGTGCTGAGTCTATGGTGCAGTGCTGAGTCTATGGTGCAGTATTGAGTCTATGGTGCAGTGTTGAGTCTATGGTGCAGTGTTGAGTCTATGGGGCAGTGTTGAGTCTATGGTGCAGTGTTGAGTCTATGGTGCAGTGTTGAGTCTATGGTGCAGTGCTGAGTCTATGGTGCAGTGCTGAGTCTATGGTGCAGTGTTGAGTCTATGGTGCAGTGTTGAGTCTTTGGTGCAGTGCTGAGTCTATGGTGCAGTTTTGAGTCTATGGTGCAGTGTTGAGTCTTTGGTGCAGTGTTGAGTCTATGCTGCAGTGCTGAGTCTATGGTGCAGTGCAGAGTCTATGGTGCAGTGCTGAGTCTATGGTGCAGTGTTGAGTCTATGGTGCTGTATTGAGTCTATGGTGCAGTGTTGAGTCTATGGTGCAGTGTTGAGTCTATGTTGCAGTGTTGAGTCTATGGTGCAGTGTTGAGTCTATGGGTGGCAGTGTTGAGTCTATGGTGCAGTGCTGAGTCTATGGTGCAGTGTTGAGTCTTTGGTGCAGTGTTGAGTCTATGGTGCAGTGTTGAGTCTATGGTGCAGTGTTGAGTCTATGGTGCAGTGCTGAGTCTATGGTGCAGTGTTGAGTCTATGGGCAGTGTTGAGTCTATGGTGCAGTGTTGAGTCTATGGTGCAGTGCTGAGTCTATGGTGCAGTGTTGAGTCTTTGGTGCAGTGTTGAGTCTATGGTGCAGTGTTGAGTCTTTGGTGCAGTGCTGAGTCTATGGTGCAGTGGCGTCGGCGGTTCAATCTCCGAACCCACTCACCGGATTCGACGTCCAGTGACTGCCGGTCGATCTCCATGTTCATGTGCTGGTAGGCGGCATTGCAGAAGCGCTCCAGGATGACATGAACGGCGCGCGTCACGTTGTTGGGCACGTGGTGGGCGAACTTCATGCGGCTGTTGACCACCACGCTGCCGTTGCGGAAGTTCATGATCTCCATGTTCTGGAAGCCCGAGAGGTTCGACTGCAGGTACGGGACAAGCTGGTGGGCGGACGAGGGGAGGTTTGGGGTGGGCGTTTGGTAGGAAAAGAATCGGAATCAGAAGCTTTATTTATACTGGAGGAATCCGATGAGCTGTGAAGCTCTCTTTTTGTTCACGCAGATGTCCAGTAGGTGGCACGGGGTCAGAAAGTTACAACAACAAACAACGCGAAAACACAAAGGGAGTGCAAAGTGTAGGAAACGTAAGCAAATCACGAAAATTAATTAAAATGAAATGTTTTATTTTTATTTTACCAGATAAAGCCCGCGGAGCTATTTAGCTATTTTTCAGAAGCGACCTGGCAATTACATAGCTCGACGAATTGGCTTATCATCACGTGGAAATGTATAGCAGGGGCCAAATACTCTACAAGCACGTTGATTATAAATGTGGAGGCGAAAACCAGAGGACCCGTAAAAAAAATCCAAACGACCACGGGGAGAGAGACACGCAAACTCCAAATATACAAGTGTCAGGGTCGGGATCGAACCCACGACCTCCTGCATACCAGGCGAAGGAGCTAACATCTCGTCACCACTGGCAAGATTTCGATTTAAAGCTTTCGTGACTGCAAGGATTCATATTCTTTGGTTCTTTCGGTAAAGTCATATAGAGTGAGAATAAAATAATAAATTGATAAAATAAAATAACACAATAATATTCTCACGACGTTTCGGCCACAACACAAGCGCCCTTCATCAGGTGAAGGGACGAGACTGTCTGGAGGACAGCGCTGGAGTGAAAAAGCCACGTTCAGATCACGACTCTAAGCTTAAAGGTCGTGATCTGAGCGTGGCTTTTTCACTCCAGCGCTGTCCTCCAGACAGTCTCGTCCCTTCACCTGACGAAGGCCGCTTGTGTTGTGGCCGAAACGTCGTGAGAATATTATTGTATTATTTTATTTTATCAATTTATTATTTTATTCTCATTCTACGTGACTTTACCGAAAGAACCACTGGCAAGATGTTAATAGGTGGTGGGGGGGAGGGGGGTATCGGCATGACGTACAAGAGCTCCGGGAGCTGGGGGGATCATGACAAGGTCAACGTTGAATAAACGATTCATGGGGGGGGGGGTGTTAAACACAAAAATAAAACGAGTTAGCGATGCACCAGGATGGTGGGAGGATTAGGATGATGGTGGGATGTAGCGAGGGAGGGAGGGAGGGGAGGGGGGAGATAGGAAGGAGTGAGATGGAGTCGAGATGGGGGTGTGTGTGGGAGTGTAAAGAGGAGAGGAAGATCGTAGGAGACACACGAGGAACAAAAATCTCCCTAACTTTATTGATTCCAATCTAGATTTGAAGTTTTCGTGACTGCAGGGATCCATACTTTTTGGTTATTTCGGTAAAGTCACGTAGTAGGTATAAAATAAAAAAAATAAAAATTAAATCACGACGTTTCAGGCGCAACACAAGCGTCCGTTAACAGGTGGGACAACCACAGCAAGAAAGAATTGCTGAAGTGGGCAAAAGGGGCTGCTGTAGCAAGAGGCCATATAGGTAAGAGAGAGGGGAGCTGATTCCTCCCCTCTCTCTGACCTACATAGCCTCTTGTGTTGCGCTTGTGTTGCGCCCAAAACGTCGTGATTTAATTTATTTTATATCTACGTGACTTCATTGATTCCAGCCACCACCCTTTGGGCATATTTTTTTCTTCTCACGGAGTCCATATAATCCATAGAATATTGTGTGGGTCTCGATGTGAGCCTGTCGGTCTCGAATTCGATTCCTCTTCTTGGGGAGAGAATGGGTCTCTGTCTTAGTCGATATGTGGCATATCACCGCGGCTAGGAGATGTTATCTCCCCGTGGTAGCGTAGATTTTTTTCCTCCGGCTTCGCCAGTTGTTTTCCCTCTACATTTAGAAACGCGCCTTGGGAGTATTCGCCTGCTGCTGTAAATTCCCCAAGTGATGATGAGCAGCTACTTCTTTGAACTATATATATTTATAAATGATAGCTAGCATATGTGGCCAGGTCGCTTCTGAAAACGAGCTAAAGAGCAGCTCAATGGGCCTTACCTGTTAAAATAAAAATAGTTGAGTTTAGTTTATAGTCTTTTTTTTCGTATTCATCATCACCATCATCAGCCTTCGGTAAAAAAAACAAAAAACTGTTGAGCAACCATTGGAAAGATGTCATCAACCAAGTCAAACTTTAGCTGCCTTATAATTGTACAGCCATTTCCATTTCTTCACTCTCGTGCAGTGCACCACTGCTTCCCCCGAACCCCCTGCAGCATAACAAAAGGCGGTTTAACTTAGCCCCTCCCATCCCCACCCACATCCCTTCCTGGCTCCTCCCCCCCCCCCCCTTAACCTGTATATAGTCTCGGGTGTCCCAGAGCTCTTCACTTGACACAGCTATTCTGCTGTGACTGTTCCACCTGAAGACGGAAGCTTGTGCTGCCTCCGAAACGTCGTGATTTAATTTAGTTGTTTTCATTTATTTTATTTTACCTACGTGACTTTACCGAAAAAAACGAACAGTATTCTTCTTCATTCAGAGATGCAACCCTCCACTACCTCCGTTACCTCGGCTAACCCCCCCCCCCAACCCCCCCACCCCCCCAGCCACCAACTTCTCACCAGCTCGAGGAAGTTCTGCTCGAGGGCTCGGTACTCGGAGGAGCTCTTGTTAAAGAGGTCCTCCGAGAAGGCCATGTTGGTGACGCGGAGGCTGAAGAAGACGATGAGGTCCCGCGACCCTGACACGGCCACCGCCGGCGAGGTCATCAGAGGCCCGGCCCAGCGGTCGTCCCACTGCACTGCCTGGGCCTCATCCAAGCTCTCGACGCCCTCGTCGCCCGCTTCCTCCGCCGTGCCAACCTCGCCACCTTGGCCACCCTTGCCAACGCCTTCACCGTCTCCACGCTCTCCATTGTCACCACCCTCGCCACCCTGGGTACCCTCCTCGGCCTCGCCGCCCTGGCCACCGTCGCCACCGCTACCCTCGCCACCCTCATCACCGCCACCCTCGCCGCGACCATCTCCACCATCGCCTCCGCTCTCATCTCCCGCCAACTCCGTGGCTCCACCACCCTCGCCGGGTCCACCCGGGGTTCCGGCCGCGCCCTCATCCGCCACGACCACCACTACGACGTCCGCCTCAACTTCTGCCGATGTTCCCAGGTGATATCCGGGGTCGTCGCCACCACCTCCTCCTCCTCCTCCCACTGACATCGCCACCTCATCTCCGCTCGACTCTCCGCCCAGAATCTCCTCCGCCTCCTCCTCCTCCTCTGCCGCTGCTGCTTCGTCGACCACCGCCTCCGCCATCACAGTCTCGGGGTCGTGACCTCCCTCCGTTGATCCGGCGAGGGCGTCTCCGTCGAGCGGAACTTCGTGGAGGAAGTGGAGGTGGTCGTCGTGCTGGTGGTCTTGGTGCTCATCGCGGTGGTGGTAAGAAGCGCCGGGTCTGCCGTTCGCCGTCTCCTCCTCGAGCGATGAGGGCATCAGGTGCGCCTCCAACACCACAACGTCGTCGTCTGCGGCGGATTCCTCTCCCGTTTCAATCTCGGCGCTGGCCTCCTCCTCCTCATTCTCCACCTCCTCCACGTCCGTCTGTGTCTCCGCGGCTGTCCCGGTCGTCTGGACAGAGTCTTCCATCGCTGACTGTTCTTGCTCAACATCCTCCTGTTGATGCTCCTGCTGATCGTGCTGCGGAGTTGTCTGGACGGGAGATGCTTCAGTCGCGGTCATCGCCCCACCGCCACCGCCGCCGCCGCCATCATCTTTTTCCACGCCGTCCGAGAAACCCACCACCGAATATTCGCCGGGCTCAAGGCCGCTGCCCTCTGCGATCGCTTGAAGGAGAAAAAGAAGAATAAGAAGAAAACTCAACACTGCACCATAGACTCAACACTGCCCATAGACTCAACACTGCACTATAGACTCAGCACTGCAACATAGACTCAACACTGCCCATAGACTCAACACTGCACCATAGACTCAGCACTGCAACATAGACTCAACACTGCCCATAGACTCAACACTGCACCATAGACTCAGCACTGCAACATAGACTCAACACTGCCCATAGACTCAGCACTGCCCATAGACTCAACACTGCACTATAGACCCAGCAATGCAACATAGAATGAACACTGCACTATAGACTCAGAACTGCAACATAGACTCAACATTACATCATAGACTAAACACTGCAACATAGAATCAACACTGCACTATAGACTCAACACTGCAACATAGACTCAGCACTGCACTATAGACTCAACACTGAAACATAGACTCAGCACTGCACTATAGACTCAACACTGCAACATAGACTCAACACTGCCCCATAGACTCAACACTGCACCATAGACTCAACACTGCACAATAGACTCAACACTGCCCCATAGACTCAACACTACCCCATCGACTCAACATTGCCCATAGACTCAACACTGCACCATAGACTCAACACTGCCCCATAGACTCAACACTGCCCCATAGACTCAACATTGCCCCATAGACTCAACACTGCACCATAGACTCAACACTGCACCATAGACTCAACACTGCACCATAGACTCAACACTGCACCATAGACTCAAGACTGCACATAGACTTAACACTGCACCATAGACTCAACACTGCCCCATAGACTCAACACTGCATCATAGACTCAACACTGCACCATAGACTCAACACTGCACCATAGACTTAGCACTGCACCATAGACTCAACACTGCCCCATAGACTCAACACTGCCCCATAGACTCAACACTGCACCATAGACTCAACACTGCACCATAGATTCAACACTGCACCATAGACTCAGCACTGCACCATAGACTCAGCACTGCACCATAGACTCAACACTGCTCCCATAGACTCAACACTGCACTATAGACTCAACACTGCACCATAGACTCAACACTGCACCATAGACTCAGCACTGCACCATAGACTCAACACTGCCCCATAGACTCAACACTGCCCATAGACTCAACACTGCACCATAAACTCAGCACTGCACCATAGACTCAACACTGCCCCATACACTCAACACTGCCCATAGACTCAACACTGCACCATAGACTCAACACTGCACCATAGACTCAACACTGTCCCATAGACTTAACACTGCCCATGGACTCAACACTGCACCATAGACTCAACACTGCACCATAGACTCAACACTGCCCATAGACTCAACACTGCACCATATACTCAACACTGCACCATAGACTCAACACTGCCCATAGACTCAACACTGCACCATAGACTCAACACTGCCCCATCGACTCAACACTACACCATAGACTCAACACTGCACAATAGACTCAACACTGCCCCATAGACTCAACACTGCCCCATCGACTCAACACTGCCCATAGACTCAACACTGCAACATAGACTCAACACTGCCCCATAAACTCAACACTGCCCCATAGACTCAACACTGCACCATAGAATCAACACTGCCCCATAGACTCAACACTGCCCCATAGACTCACCACTGCCCCATAGACTCAACACTGCACCATAGACTCAACACTGCACCATAGACTCAACACTGCACCATAGACTCAACACTGACACCATAGACTCAGCACTGCCCCATAGACTCAACACTGCACCATAGACTCAACACTGCACCATAGACTCAACACTGCACCATAGACTCAACACTGCCCCATAGACTCAACACTGCACCATAGACTCAACACTGCACCATAGACTCAACACTGCCCCATAGACTCAACACTGCACAATAGACTCAACACTGTACCATAGACTCAACACTGCACCATAGACTCAACACTGCCCCCATAGACTCAACACTGCCCCATAGACTCAACACTGCCCCATAGACTCAACACTGCACCATAGACTCAACACTGCACCATAGACTCAACACTGCACCATAGACTCAACACTGCACCATAGACTCAACACTGCACCATAGACTCAACACTGCACCATAGACTCAACACTGCACCATAGACTCAACACTGCACCATAGACTCAACACTGCACCATAGACTCAATATTGCCCCATAGACTCAACACTGCACCATAGACTCAACACTGCACCATAGACTCAATATTGCCCCATAGACTCAACACTGCACCATAGACTCAACACTGCACCATAGACTCAACACTGCCCCATAGACTCAACACTGCACCATAGACTCAACACTGCACCATAGACTCAACACTGCACCATAGACGTTGTACTGCACCATAGACTCAACACTGCACCATAGACTCAACACTGCACCATAGACTCAACACTGCACCATAGACTCAACACTGCACCATAGACTCAATATTGCCCCATAGACTCAACACTGCACCATAGACTCAACACTGCACCATAGACTCAACACTGCACCATAGACTCAACACTGCCCCATAGACTCAACACTGCCCCATAGACTCAACACTGCACCATAGGCTCAACACTGCACCATCGACTCAACACTGCACCATAGACTCAACACTGCCCCATAGACTCAACACTGCCCCATAGACTCAACACTGCCCCATCGACTCAACACTGCACCATAGACTCAACACTGCACAATAGACTCAACACTGCCCCATAGACTCAACACTGCACCATAGACTCAACACTGCACCATAGACTCAACATTGCACCATAGACTCAACACTGCACCATAGACTCAACACTGCCCCCATAGACTCAACACTGCCCCATAGACTCAACACTGCCCCATAGACTCAACACTGCCCCATAGACTCAACACTGCCCCATAGACTCAACACTGCCCCATAGACTCAACACTGAACCATAGACTCAGCACTGCACCATAGACTCAGCACTGCACCATAGACTCAACACTGCACCATAGACTCAACACTGCACCATAGACTCAACACTGCACCATAGACTCAACACTGCACCATAGACTCAACACTGCACCATAGACTCAACACTGCACCATAGACTCAACACTGCACCATAGACGTTGTAGTGCACCATAGACTCAACACTGCACCATAGACGTTGTACTGCACCATAGACTCAACACTGCACCATTGACGTTGTACTGCACCATAGACTCAACACTGCACCATAGACGTTGTACTGCACCATAGACTCAACACTGCACCATAGACGTTGTACTGCACCATAGACTCAACACTGCACCATTGACGTTGTACTGCACCGATGTTCTCACCTTCGCTCAGCTTTAGCAGCGCAGCCGCCTGGAGGTCTTGGCTGGCATCCGCTCCCGTCAGCGTGCGGTCACTCAGTGCCGCGGCCACTACCTTCCTCCAGTCCCGGTTCGACTCCCGTCTGGGGTTCGCCTCTCCGGCACCTGCCACCCACACAAAAAAATACAAAAATCCCCCATGGAGCCTTAACAGACTGTTGGGACAAGCGCTGTTAGCGAGCATCTATTAAGGCCGGCACTATGGTACACGAGGAAGTGAGTGGCTAACACCACACCCGGTCACCTTTGTTTCTCTAGTGGCGATGTTGACATATCGCACCAGGTACTCAATTGAGCCTGGGTCGACCTACAGGAGGCCCAAGACTGGTTCAGATAATCGTGTCCTGGTGTTGGTGGCCATGAACGTGAACCAATTCGGGGTGCCTGGGATTGTAGTGCAGCATAGCGCTAATCGCGACAAATATACCCAATGGATGTGCATGCGTGTTTTGGCCTTCTATTCCTCAGTTGATAAAAAAAAAGTTTATTCGAGTTGAAGGGTTGCTAGGCAGCAAGTCTTGACTCGAGTGGATGGGGTTGCTAGGCAACGAGTGTTGATTCCAGTGGATCGGTTGCTAGGCAGCGGGATTTGATTACAGTGGAGCGGTTGCTAGGCAGCGAGTGTTGATTCCAGTGGAGCGGTTGCTTGGCAACGAGTGTTGATTCCAGTGGAGCAGTTGCTAGGCAACGAGTGTTGATTCGAGTGGAGCGGTTGCTAGGCAGGGAGACGGACCGAAAATGACATTAGGCACAGGGGAGAACGAGAGACAGAGAGACAGAGAAAGAGAGACAGATACAGAGAGACAGACAGAGAAAGAGAGACAGAGAGCCAGAGAAAGAGAGACAGATACAGAGAGACAGACAGAGAAAGAGAAACAGAGAGACAGAGAAAGAGAAACAGATACAGAGAGACAGACAGAGAAATAGAGACAGACAGAGAAAGAGAGACAGATACAGAGAGACAGACAGAGAAAGAGAGACAGATACAGAGAGACAGAAAGAGAGACAGAGAAAGAGAGACAGAGAAAGAGAGACAGAGAAAGAGAGACAGAGAAACAGAGAGACTGAGAGAGACATATAGAGAGAGATACAGAGAGATAGAGACAGAGATAAAGAAATAGAGAGACAGACAGAGAAAGAGAGACAGAGAGACAGAGAGATAGACAGAGAGACAGAGAGACTGAGAGAGACAAATAGAGAGACAGAGATAAAGAGAGACAGAGACACAGATAAAGAAATAGAGAGACAGATACACAGAGATAGACAGAGAGACAGACAGAGAGACAGAGGAAGAGAGACAGAGAAATAGATGCAGAGAAACAGAGAGACAAATAGAGAAACAGAGAGATAGACAGAGAAAAAGAGACAGAGACAGAGAAAGAGAGACAGAGAGACAGAGAAAGAGAGACGGAGAAACAGAGGGACTGAGAGAGACAAATATAGAGACAGAGATACAGAGAGACAGAGACACAGAGACAGAGATAAAGAAATAGAGAGACAGATACAGAGAGACAGACAGAGAGACAGACAGAGATACAGAGAAAGAGAGACAGAGGAAGAGAGACAGAGAGACAGAAAAAGAGAGACAGAGAGACAGAGAAAGAGAGACAGAGAAACAGAGAGACTGAGAGAGACAAATAGAGAGACAGAGATCAAGAGAGACAGAGACACAGAGACAGAGATAAAGAAATAGAGAGACAGACAGAGAGACAGACAGAGAGACAGAGAAACAGACACATAGAGAAAGGGACAGAGATACAGAGACAGAGCGACAGAGACAGACAGAGAGACATAACGACAGAAACAGACAGAGAGACAGACACAGAGAGACATATGCATAGAAATAGAGAAAGAGACAAAGAGACAGAAATACAGAGACAGAGAGACAGAGAGACAGAGCGACAGAGAGAGACAGAGAGACAGAGAGAGAGACAGACAAAGAAAGCGAGACAGAGAGACAGACAGAAAGCGAAACAGAGAGACAGAGAAAGAGAGCTCATTCCAGATGATGGGGATGCTAGGCAGCGGGAGCTGAATCCAGTGATGGGGTTGTTAAGGCAGCGAGAATTGATATGAGTGGGGGAGTTGCTGGGCAACGAGAGTTGACTGACTGATCGTGAGGTTGAGTGAATTAGCTGAGTGACTGGTTGGCTTACTTGTTCATTCTTATACTGGCTGACTGGTTGAGTGATTGGCTGAATGTTTCAGTGGCTGGATGAGTCGCTAACTCATTGAGTGACTGGCTGAGCAAATGGCTGACCGCTCGAGTGACTGACTGACTCTCTGACTGACTGACCGACTGACTGTCAGTCCGGTCGAGTAACTGAATCAACAAGGAATCTGTGGCTGTGGAAACCAGGTTTCCCTGCACCAGAATTCCTCCTCTTCCTGTCCGGTAACACCCTGCCACTCCATCCTCAAACTCCGTCTCATAGAGAATGGCTGCCTGATTGATTGGTTTAATGGCTGATCGTATATGTGACTGGCTGACTGGTTGAGTGACAAGCTGAGTGACAGGCTGGATAACTTATTGATTACACTGTGTAACAATTTGTGTTGTTGTTGTTGTTGTTCCTGGGTAGTAAGTGTTATTTCCTAATTGCTTATGCCTCAAAAGTACAGAAAATGGCTATTATTCCCCACAAACTTTGCTGTGTGACCATTACGGTGATATTTTGCAATTTACCTATTTTCCAGAACATTCCAGTAGATTCAGTGCTGAATAAACTTGGAGTAACTTCTAGAACATTCTGTAACTTTTCAGCAATATAAACAGCAGTATAAATAAAGGAACCTTAAACCCACTAGTTCAGTTTAGTGCCAGTTGCCTAAATGGATACATATCTGAATTTTTCTGAGATGGCATCAAGAGGCTGCAAGCATCCAGCAGACACATTTTGCTATGTCTGCGGCTAATTTATCAAGACAAGAGCAAAAAAAATACTCTGTGGAAGCATCTGCGAAGATGTGTGAGGCCTACAAGGCATATTTCGGCATGCCTATCGGGGATGAAGACGAACCCTGGGCACCTCATTTCACCTGCGAGCAATGCAAAAAAACTCTGGAAGGTAAGATGGACAATTGTTGATCGGAATTTTATGTTATTGACAGCTCATCCAGGAGCCTCAAAGCCGTGCTGCTCCATCATGGCAACAAGTACCAGTCTCTTCCCCTGGCTCACTCAGTGCAGCTGAAAGAGGATTACAACAGCATCAAGACCTTGCTGCACGCCTTGAAGTATGATGAGTATGGCTGGGAGGTCATCGGAGACTTCAAAATGGTGGCATTCCTGATGGGTCTCCAAGGCGGTTTTACCAAGTTTCCCTGCTATCGTTGCCTTTGGGACAGCAGGGACACCAAGGCGTACTAACACAGGCGGGACTGACCACAGTAGACCGAGTTCTCTGTAGGGAGGAACAACGTCAAGTGGGAGCCACTGGTGGACCCCCGGAAGGTGCTGATGCCACCACTGAACATCAAATTGGGCCTTGTGAAACAATTTGTCAGAGCTGTAGATAAGGAGTCGACAGCCTTCAAGTACCTTCAAGACTTCTTCCCTAAGCTGTCTGAGGCAAAGGTCAAATGACCACAGATGAAGAAGATCCTGATGTGCAATGAATTCCCCAAGAAGCTCACTAGTAAGGAGAAAGCGGCTTGGAACAGCTTTGTCGCAGTGGTTCGGGGCTTCCTGGGCAATCACAAGTGCGAAAACTATGTGGAGCTGGTTGAGACTCTGGTGAAGAACTACGGCACAATGGGCTGTAGGATGTCAGTCAAAGTCCATATCCTTGATGCTTATCTTGTTAAATTCAAGGAGAACATGGCAGCGTACTCGGAGGAGCAAGGCGAGCGCTTCCACCAGGATATACTGGACTTTGAACGCCGCTACCAAGGACAGTATCACGAGAACATGATGGGAGACTACATTTGGGGGCTGATTCGTGAAAGTGATTTACAGTATAATCGTAAATCTCGAAAAACTACTCAATTCTAAATCTTTGTAGTGATTTTGTATTACTTTGGTATAAATACATGTTAATTTGTATTCATATGTTGTTGTTTTCTTACTTTATGTGAACGAAAATACACAAATTCTCCCGTTTTCTCATTCAAAATAGGTAAATAAAAAAAATATCACTGTCCTGGTCACAAAAGCACAGTTTGTGGGGAATAATATTCATTTTTATCTACTTTTTAGCCAAAAACAATTGCGAAATAACACTTACTACCCAGGAACAAAAATTGTGTTAGAAAATTTTATTATACCGGCTGACGGGTTGAGTGACAATCTGACTCACTAACTCGTCGAGTAACTGGCTGAGCGAATGTCTGACGGGTTGAGTGACAATCTGACTCACTAACTCGACGAGTAACTGGCTGAGCGAATGTCTGACGGGTTGAGTGACAATCTGACTCACTAACTCGACGAGTAACTGGCTGAGCGAATGTCTGACTGGTTGAGTGACAATCTGACTCACTAACTCGACGAGTAACTGGCTGAGCGAATGTCTGACGGGTTGAGTGACAATCTGACTCACTAACTCGACGAGTAACTGGCTGAGCGAATGTCTGACTGGTTGAGTGACAATCTGACTCACTAACTCGACGAGTAACTGGCTGAGCGAATGTCTGACTGGTTGATTGACAATCTGACTCACTAACTCGACGAGTAACTGGCTGAGCGAATGTCTGATGGGTTGAGTGACAATCTGACTCACTAACTTGACGAGTAACTGGCTGAGCGAATGTCTGACGGGTTGAGTGACAATCTGACTCACTAACTCGACGTGTAACTGGCTGAGCGAATGTCTGATGGGTTGAGTGACAATCTGACTCACTAACTCGACGAGTAACTGGCTGAGCGAATGTCTGATGGGTTGAGTGACAATCTGACTCACTAACTCGACGAGTAACTGGTTGAGCGAATGTCTGACTGGTTGAGTGACAATCTGACTCACTAACTCGACGAGTAACTGGCTGAGCGAATGTCTGACTGGTTGATTGACAATCTGACTCACTAACTCGACGAGTAACTGGCTGAGCGAATGTCTGATGGGTTGAGTGACAATCTGACTCACTAACTCGACGAGTAACTGGCTGAGCGAATGTCTGACGGGTTGAGTGACAATCTGACTCACTAACTCGTCGAGTAACTGGCTGAGCGAATGTCTGACGGGTTGAGTGACAATCTGACTCACTAACTCGACGAGTAACTGGCTGAGCGAATGTCTGACGGGTTGAGTGACAATCTGACTCACTAACTCGACGAGTAACTGGCTGAGCGAATGTCTGATGGGTTGATAGACTGGCTGACTCTCTCGCCGACTGATTGGCTAACTGGCCGGTCAGGTGACTGAGCCAACAAGACACCTGTGGCTGAGGTGACCAAGTTTCCCTGCAGCAGCCCTCCTCCTCGTTCTGTCCAATCACTCTCCGCCACTCCATCCTCAAACTCCGCCTCATAGCGGACCACCACCGAGCTGCCCCGAGACCTGGAGGGGTGGTGGTGAGGGTGGGAAGGGGTGGGGGTGGTGAGGGTGGTGAGGGTGGGGTGGGCAGAGCGGAGGGTGGGTTTCATTTTTATGTGTGTAGCGTATAGTAGTGTAGAGTATAGTCTATAGTAGTGTAGTGTATAGTAGTGTATAGTGTAGTGTATAGTGTAGTTTATAGTAGTGTGGTGTATAGTAGTGTATAGTGTAGTCTATAGTAATGTAGTGTATAGTAGTGTAGTGTATAGTAGTGTAGTGTATAGTAGTGTATAGTAGTGTAGTGTATAGTGTAGTCTATAGTAGTGTATAGTGTAGTGTATAGTGAAGTCTATAGTAGTGTATAGTAGTGTAGTGTATAGTCGTGTAGTCTCTAGTAGTGTAGTGTATAGTAGTGTAGTGTATAGTCGTGGAGTGTATAGTAGTGTAGTGTATAGTCGTGTAGTGTATAGTGTAGTGTATAGTAGTGTAGTGTATAGTCGTGGAGTGTATAGTAGTGTAGTGTATAGTCGTGTAGTGTATAGTGTAGTGTATAGTAGTGAAGTGCATAGTAGTGTAGTGTATAGTAGTGTAGTGTATAGTGTAGTCTATAGTGTAGTGTATAGTGTAGTGTATAGTAGTGTAGTGTATAGTATTGTAATGTATAGTTGTGTAGTGTATAGTAGTGTAGTGTATAGTAGTGTAGTGTATAGTAGTGTAGTCTATAGTGTAGTGTATAGTAGTGTAGTGTATAGTGTAGTCTATAGTAGTGTATAGTGTAGTCCATAGTGAAGTCTATAGTAGTGTAGTGTATAGTGTAGTGTATAGTAGTGTAGTGTATAGTCGTGTAGTGTATAGTAGTGTAGTGTATAGTCGCGTAGTGTATAGTCGTGTAGTGTATAGTAGTGTAGTCTATAGTAGTGTAGTGTATAGTAGTGTAGTGTATAGTGTAGTCTATAGTAGTGTATAGTGTAGTCCATAGTGAAGTCTATAGTAGTGTAATGTATAGTGTAGTGTATAGTAGTGTAGTGTATAGTCGTGTAGTGTATAGTAGTGTAGTGTATAGTCGTGTAGTGTATAGTTGTGTAGTGTATAGTAGTGCAGTCTATAGTAGTGTAGTGTATAGTAGTGTAGTGTATAGTAGTGTAGTGTATAGTGTAGTGTATAGTAGTGTAGTGTATAGTAGTGTAGTGTATAGTAGTGTAGTGTATAGTAGTGTAGTGTATAGTGTAGTGTATAGTAGTGTAGTGTATAGTAGTGCAGTGGAGTATGAAGGTGTGTTGTGGAAACTGCGTGATTGCATGATCACACGGACAGTGTGGGTTATCTGGGGTCAGCCTGTGGAGAAGTCGAAATCAGTGTGGGTCATGTTAGGACAGCCAGGTGCAAAGGCTGGGATGATGAGGTAACGGTTGGGCCGATTAAGCCAGAGGATCAGCAACGGCGGTGATTGGCTGTGGCTGTTGTCACGGGCGAGGAAAGCGTCGAGATGTCTGGAGAAAGGCAGGTGCTTGAGGACGCGAAGCGTGCGGAGCCACGCGGGCCAATTAAATAGCGATAATGGGGGGGAGACACGAGGAAGACTGAACGAGGAAGACGTGGAGTTTGGAGACAGAGTTTGGAGACAGAGTTTGGAGACAGAGTTGGAACAGAGTCTGAAGCAAGTCGAAGTAGTTAGCAGTGGAGTGAGCGTAGCGAAAGCGAAGCTGAAGACGCTGTGTGCGGAGTTGCTGAACGGGGAGTCGCTGAGTGCGAAGCAAGTGAAGTGATAGTGGGGAGACAAAGGTGGTGAGCGAGACGAGCGGAGCACGGTGAGCGAGCCGTGGTGACCAGGATACTGTGGAGTGTGGAGGACATGTTGAATGTTGTAAATAAAGCGGTGTTCGAAGAAATACAGAAGTTGTCCGCGTAAAGTCGAACACTGCAGTAGTGTAGTGTATAGTGTAGTGTATAGTAGTATATAGTGTAGTCTATAGTAGTGTAGTGTATAATGTAGTCTATAGTAGTGTAGTGTATAGTGTAGTGTACAGTGTAGTCTATAGTAGTGTATAGTGTAGTGTATAGTAGTGTAGTGTATAGTAGTGTAGTGTATAATAGTGTAGTGTATAGTGTAGTGTATAGTGTAGTGTATAGTGTAGTGTATAGTAGTGTGCTGTATGTAGTATGTAGTGTGTATTGTAGTGTATAGTGTAGTGTATAGTGTAGTCTATAGTAGTGTAGTGTATAGTAGTGTATAGTGTAGTGTATAGTAATGTCAAGTAGAACCCCTCTTAATGACCACCCCTGTTAACGACTAATCGCTTAACGACGGGCCTCCATAGAGCCCAGTGTGTAGTGTATAGTAGTGAAGTGTGTAGTGTATAGTAGTGTAGTGTATAGTAGTGTAGTGTATAGTAGTGTAGTGCATAGTAGTGTAGTGTATAGTAGTGTAGTGTATAGTGTAGCGTATAGTGTAGTATATACTAGTGTAGTGTATAGTGTAGTATATAGTAGTGACGTGTATAGAATGGTAGTATATAGTAGTGTAGTGCATAGTGTAGTGTAGTATTTAGTATATAGTAGTGTAGTGTATAGTGTAGTATATAGTAGTATAGTGTATAGTGTACTATATAGTAGTGTAGTGTATAGTGTAGTATATAGTAGTGTAGTGTATAGTGTAGTATATAGTAGTGTAGTGTATAGTGTAGTATATATTAGTGTAGTGTATAGTGTAGTCTATAGTAGTGTAGTTTATAGTAGTGTAGTGTATAGTGTAGTATATAGTAGTGTAGTGTATAGTGTAGTATGTAGTAGTGTAGTGTATATTGTAGTATATAGTAGTGTAGTGTATAGTGTAGTATATAGTAGTGTAGTGTATAGTGTAGTATATAGTAGTGTAGTGTATAGTGTAGTATATAGTAGTGTAGTGTATAGTGTAGTATATAGTAGTGTAGTGTATAGTGTTGTATATAGTAGTGTAGTGTGTAGCGTAGTATATAGTAGTGTAGTGTCTAGTGTAGTATAAACTAGTGTAGTGTATAGTGTAGTATATAGTAGTGTGGTGTATAGTGTAGTATACAGTAGTGTAGTGTATAGTGTAGTATATAGTAGTGTGGTGTATAGTGTAGTATACAGTAGTGTAGTGTATAGTGTAGTATATAGTAGTGTAGTGTATAGTGTAGTATATAGTATTGTAGTGTATAGTGTAGTATATAGTAGTGTAGTGTATATTGTAGTATATAGTAGTGTAGTGTGTAGTGTAGTATATAGTAGTGTAGTGTGTAGTGTAGTATATAGTAGTGTAGTGTATTGTAGTGTAGCATATAGTAGTGTAGTATATAGTGTATTGTAGTGCATAGTGTAGTGTATAGTAGTGTGGTGTATGTAGTATGTAGTGTGTATTGTAGTGTATAGTGTAGTGTACGTTTATTTAAGTTATTTCGAACCACCTTAGATGGGAAGGACAACAACTAGTGGTATAGCTAGTGATATCGATAGTGATATCGATAGTGATATCGATAGTGATATCGATAGTGATATCGATAGTGATATCGATAGTGATGTAGCTTGTGTTCGTGTTAGTCGTGGTGCCGGTGGTGTGTCCGAGTCTTGCGTCTCACTCACCCCGTGGGTCGTTTCCTCTTCCTGTGGAACAGAGATCGGTATCACGGTTACCACCGCGGCGTTATCAGCACTACTACCCAGCTGCTGTATGTGTGTATGTGTCTGTATGTATGTGTGTGTCTGTGTGTCTGTGTGTATGTCTGTGGGAGTGTCTGTATGTGTGTGTGTCTTTGTGTGTGTATGTGAGTGTGTGTCTGTGTGTGTTTATGTGTGTAAATGTGTGTCTGTATGTGTGTCTGTGTCTGTATATGTGTGTGTGTCTGTGTGTGTTTGTGTGTATGTGTGCCTCGTCTTAGACTAAATCTCGTATTAGACAAAGTCTCGTCTTAGACCAAGTCTCGTCTTAGACCAAGTCTCGTCTTAGACCAAGTCTCGTCTTAGACCAAGTTTCGTCTTAGACCAAGTCTCGTCTTAGACCAAATCTTGTCTTAGACCAAGTCTCATCTTAGACCAAGTCTCGTCTTAGACCAAGTCTCGTCTTAGACCAAATCTTGTCTTAGACTAAGTCTCGTCTTAGACCAAGTCTCATCTTAGATCAAGCCTCGTCTTAGACCAAGTCTCGTCTTAGACCAAGCCTCGTCTTAGACCAAGTCTCGTCTTAGACCAAGTCTCGTCTTAGACCAAATCTCGTCTTAGACCAAGTCTCATCTTAGACCAAGTCTCGTCTTAGACCAAGTCTCGTCTTAGACCAAGTCTCGTCTTAGACCAAGTCTCGTCTTAAACCAAGCCTCGTCTTGGACCAAGTCTCGTCTTAGACCAAGCCTCGTCTTAGACCAAGTCTCGTCTTAGACCAAATCTTGTCTTAGACCAAGTCTCATCTTAGACTAAGTCTCGTCTTAGACCAAGTCTCGTCTTAGACCAAATCTCGTCTTAAACCAAGCCTCGTCTTTGATCAAGCCTCGTCTTAGACCAAGCCTCGTCTTAGACCAAGTCTCATCTTAGACCAAGCCTCGTCTTTGACCAAGTCTCGTCTTAGACCAAGTCTCGTCTTAGACCAAGTCTCGTCTTAGACCAAGTCTCGTCTTAGACCAAGCCTCATCTTAGACCAAATCTCGTCTTAGACCAAGTCTCATCGTAGACCAAGTCTCGTCTTAGACCAAGTCTCGTCTTAGACCAAGTCTCGTCTTAGACCAAGTCTCGTCTTAGACCAAGCCTCATCTTAGGCCAAGTCTCGTCTTAGACCAAGTCTCGTCTTAGACTAAGTCTCATCTTAGGCCAATCCTCATCTTCAACCAAGTCTCGTCTTAGACCAAGTCTCGTCTTAGACCAAGTCTTGTCTTAGACCAAGTCTTGTCTTAGACCAAGTCTCGTCTTAGACCAAGTCTCGTCTTAGACTAAGTCTCGTCTTAGACCAAGTCTCGTCTTAGACCAAGTCTCGTCTTAGACCAAGTCTTGTCTTAGACCAAGTCTCGTCTTAGACCAAGTCTCGTCTTAGACCAAGTCTCGTCTTAGACCAAGTCTTGTCTTAGACCAAGTCTCGTCTTAGACCAAGCCTCGTCTTAGACCAAGTCTCGTCTTAGACCAAGCCTCATCTTAGGCCAAGTCTCGTCTTAGACCAAGTCTCGTCTTAGACTAAGTCTCATCTTAGGCCAATCCTCGTCTTCAACCAAGTCTCGTCTTAGACCAAGTCTCGTCTTAGACCAAGCCTCATCTTAGGCCAAGTCTTGTCTTAGACCAAGTCTCGTCTTAGACCAAGTCTCGTCTTAGACTAAGTCTCGTCTTAGACCAAGTCTCGTCTTAGACCAAGTCTCGTCTTAGACCAAGTCTCGTCTTAGATTAAGTCTCGTCTTAGACCAAGTCTCGTCTTAGACCAAGTCTCGTCTTAGACCAAGTCTCGTCTTAGACCAAGTCTTGTCTTAGACCAAGTCTCGTCTTAGACCAAGTCTCGTCTTAGACCAAGTCTCGTCTTAGACCAAGTCTCGTCTTAGACCAAATCTCGTCTTAGACCAAGTCTCATCTTAGACCAAATCTCGTCTTAGACCAAGTCTCATCTTAGACCAAGTCTCGTCTTAGACCAAGCCTCATCTTAGGCCAAGTCTAGTCTTAGACCAAGTCTCGTCTTAGACCAAGCCTCATCTTAGACCAAGTCTCGTCTTAGAAGTCGAGACGAAGTCCCTTCTTATGGTGGTGATGATGCCGGTGATGCTAATGGTGATGCCGATGGTGGTGATGATGCCGATAGCGGTGATGTTGTACCTGAAGCCCGTCACTCTCAGCTCCTTGAATCCCGGCACTTTCTGGAACCCCTTTTGCATCTGGTGACAGAACGACGCGGCCATCGTGAAAATAAAAAAAATAAAAAATACTTCAGCGCCAGAGACTCACACAGGTCACCCCAGCTACGCTGACTGAGCATCTTTTTCCGACGTGGCTACTGTGAACGTGCCACGTTGGCTAAGGAGATGTTAACCACCTCGCCAGATATGCAGGAGGTCGTGGGTTCGTTCTCGACCCTGATGTTCCACGGTGGCTCGGAGATGTTAACTACCTCGCCTGGTTGGCAGGTGGATGTGGGTTCGTTCCGGACCCTAACACTCACGGTGGACTATGAGATGTTAACTACCTCGCCTGGTATGTAGGAGGTCGTGGGTTGGATCCTGACCTTGCTGTGTATTTGGAGCCTGCGTGTCTCTCTCTCTCTCTCTCCCCCCGTAGATTGTTTTTTGCGAATCCTCTTAACGCAGGTTCATCAACGACCTCCTGTATACCAGGCGGGGTAGTATCAGGTGCCCCCATGGCACCTGATACTAAAACTATTTTATTGTTATATTCTTAGATCTTTCGGTAAAGTCACGTTGAAGGAAAATAATACAATAATAAAATATATAATATAGATTTTATTATTTTCTATAATATAATATATATATTTATTATTTTATTATTTCCCTTCAACGTGACTTTACCGAAAGAACTAAGAATATGAATTACTGCAGTCACGAAAGCTTTAAATCAAAATTTATTTTATTGTTGCCAGGTTAAGGCCAACTAAGCTATGCAGCTCTGTTTGCAGAAGCGGACCTGGGCCATCACAAATGATAGCAGCTCAACCACGTGAATGATATCGTCATCATAGAGACCCACAGAGTCCCACAGAGACCCACAGAGACCCGCAGTGACTCACACAGATCTATAGACTCACAGAGACCCATATCTATAGACATACCCATATAGAGAGAGAAATACCCATAGAGATACACAGAGACCCACAGAGACTCACGGAAACTCACGGAGACTAACGGAGACTCACATAGACCCACAGAAACCAACAGAAACTGACGGAGACTCAGATCCACAGAGACCCACAGAGACTCATAGGTTCACAAAGACCCACAGACACCCACAGACACCCACATAAACTCACGGAGACTCACATAGATCTATAGACTCACAGAGACCCATATCTAGAGAGATACCCATATATAGAGAGAGATACCCATAGAGATACACAGAGACCCACAGAGACTCATGGAGACTCACGGAGACTCACATAGACCCACAGAGACCAACAGAAACTCACGGAGACTCACATAGATCCAAAGAGACCCACAGAGGCCCATAGACTCACAGAGACCCACAGAGACCCACATAGATCCACAGAGACCCACAGACACCCACAGAAACTCACGGAGACTCACATAGATCTATAGACTCACAGAGACCCATATCTAGAGAGATACCCACATATATAGAGATACCCATAGAAATGCACAGAGACCTATAGAGATACACATATAGACCCAATAGAGACCCACTCTCATAGAGACCCACAGAGACCCACAGTGACGCACAGAGACTCACATAGATCTATAGGATCACAGAGACCCATATATAGAGAGATACCCATAGAGATACACAGAGACCCAACGAGACACATACAGACCGAATAGAGACCCATTCCCACAGAGACCCACACTGACTCACAGAGACTCACATAGATCTATAGACTCACAGAGACTCATATATAGAGAGAGAAAACCAAAGAGATATACAGAGACCCAACGAGACAAAACAGACCCAATAGAAACCCACTCTCATAGAGACCCACAGAGACCCACAGAGACCCACAGAGTCCCACAGTGATTCACAGAGACTCACATAGATCTATAGGCTCACAGAGACCCATAGAGATATATAGATACCCATAGACATACACAGAGACCTAACGAGACACATACAGACCCACAGAGACCCGCAGTGACTCACAGAGACTCACAGTGACGCAATAGGCTCACAGAGACCCATATATAGGGAGAGATACCCATAGAGATACACAGAGACCCAGCGACACACATAGAGACCAAATAGAGACCCACTCTTAAAGACACCCATACCAAAACTTAACAAATTTAATTTGACCAGTGTAAAGCCGCAATGGGCTGCGTACCACTTTTTTAAATACTCTTTGGTTCTTTCGGTAAAAGTCACATAGTAGGTATAAAATAATAATAAATTAAATCACGTGACGTTTCGGGCGCAACACAAGCGTCCGTCACCAGGTGGTTATAACCACAGCAAGAAACAACTGAATCATTTTTGCGGGACCCTGGGGTCCCGCCAAAAAATCACGTCAATAATTATTATTATTGTTTTTCAGTCCGCCCACTCGTGATCCCGCAAGGACACCGGACGGACCCCGCCAGGGCTGCTGTCCATTCTTGCGCGCGGCCCCCCCCCCCCCGTTCGCGCCAACAACAAGCACCAGCAGCAGCAGCAGCAGGCGGCGATCAACGCGACGGTCGCCACCCCACCGGCCAAACGCGAGCCCCCGGGGGGCGTCCGCCGCAGTCGCCGCGCGGCGACGACGCCCTCCGGTCAGCCGTCGAGCCTCAGCTTCTTTGCCAAGGCGAGCCCGCCCCCCAGGCGGTGAATTGAACGTGTTGATGTAATTTTTCAACTTTTTACGAAACTCAGTGTCCCCGAGTAGCTCTCGACGAGGCCGATCGATTGACCGCTAGAGTTTTGTTGTCTGTAAAGGCAACAAGACTCGTGGTCGCTACGCGGTTTTTTCCCACCGCGGGGCAGCGACGGGACCCCCGGGGTCCCGCCAATTGCTTCAATTGCTGAAGTGGGCAAAAGGGGCTGTTGCAACAAGAGGACTTTATAGGTAAGCGAAAAGGGGGGGGGGGGGTGGAGGAGCCAGGGAGGAGAGACAGGGAGGGTGGGGGTGTGGGTTGGGGCGAGTGGAGGCTACAAGTCAGACACAAGCACGGCAGAAAAAAAAACTAAGGCACGGGGATGGGGAAGTTTTTTTCTTTGCAGAAGCGACCTCCTGGCTATGACCAATGGTGGCAGCTCACCAACGTGGCTTGTATCATCATCACAAGGGCATGTAGAGCAGAAGGCAAATAATCTAAACGCATAGAGATACACGGAGACCCATAGAGTTATATAGAGACCCATTCTCATAGAGACTCATTGATAGAGACCCATACTCATACTCATAGAGACCCATACTCATAGAGACCCATACTCATAGAGACCCATACTCACAGAGACCCATACTCATAGAGACCCATACTCACAGAGACACATACTAATAGAGACCCATACTCATAGAGACCCATACTCACAGAGATCCATACTCACAGAGACCCATACTCATAGAGACCCATACTCACAGAGACCCATACTCACAGAGACCCATACTCATAGAGACCCATACTAATAGAGACCCATACTCATAGAGACCCATACTCACAGAGACCCATACTCATAGAGACCCATACTCACAGAGACACATACTAATAGAGACCCATACTCATAGAGACCCATACTCACAGAGATCCATACTCACAGAGACCCATACTCATAGAGACCCATACTCACAGAGACCCATACTCACAGAGACCCATACTCATAGAGACCCATACTAATCGAGACCCATACTCATAGAGACCCATACTCACAGAGACCTATACTCACAGAGACCTATACTTATAGAAACCATACTCACAGAGACCTATACTCATAGAGAACCATTTATAGCAGTTGCAAAATACTCCCACCACCATGGGGAGAGAGAGAGACGCAGACTCCAAACATACAACAGGTGTGAGAGTCGGATTCGAACCCACGACCTCGTGCGTAGCCAGGCGAGGTAGTTAACATCTCCTATCACACCATGGCGTCAGGGTAAGGATCGGCCTTAAGATTTGCATTGAACTGCTCATATAGGACTCACCACTGTGATCTCTACATTGGGTCAAACTTAACATCTCTTAATGTTCGACGGCTTGTGCACCAGATCTTATTTATTCACGATGTACTTACAGAAAAATCCGCAGACTACCTACTGGATCTCCTCTCTGTTTCAAAGAACAAATTTGACCTCAGGTCTTCGCTCATCTACCAGCTTCACATTCCCTATTGCCGTACAAAAACTGGAGGAAGGGACTTTGCTATTGATGCCCCCAGGGCCTGGAATGCTATTGCCAATAAACTGCAACTTGAATCACTACCTATGAGATCTTCACTCAAAACTGCTCTAGAGGAGTTGTACACCCCTAGCTGCCACTACTATTCAGTGGCCTAAAATATGGCTCTAGATTTTGGTGTTATAATTTATTTATGTAGTTTATTGTAAAAAATTCGGTCACAGTCCCTATGATCACTGTTACATTGGATTTATGGCTTTTATTTTTGGTGATTTCGAAAACGTTTTATTTGGTTTGGCCATGTTTTTGTTTATTGTAGTACGGAGTTAGACTGATGGCCTTAATCTAAAGTTGTCTTGTGGTTGTTGTTGTAGTAACGGAGTTAGACTGATGGCCTTAATCTAAGTTGTCTTGTGGTTGTTGTTGTAGTACGGAGTTAGACTGATGGCCTTAATCTAAGTTGTCTTGTGGTTGTTGTTGTAGTAACGGAGTTAGACTGACGGCCTTAATCTAAGTTGTCTTGTGGTTGTTGTTGTAGTAACGGAGTGAGACTGATGGCCTTAATCTAAGTTGTCTTGTGGTTGTTGTTGTAGTACGGAGTTAGACTGATGGCTTTAATCTTAGTTGTCTTGTGGTTGTTGTTGTTATTTTGACTTGCATCCCACTGGGATTTTTGCACACAGCGTTGGTGTACGGTGCTATTACAGGAATATTTTTGATGTTTTCTTTCCTGGATTTTCTGTTTGCACAGTCACATAGTCACTTTAAGATGTTTTCTTGTTCGTGTTTGTGTTTGTTGTTTTTTGCATCCGATTCAAGAGCCGAATGTCTCACAGGGCTATACCAAATAAATGAACTATGAACTATGAAGTCGTTAACATCTTGCCAAAATGGCACCCCATTCACAGACAGATACCCAAGGATATCGAAGATTATAGAAACTTAAATGCCCACGTATAGCCTCTGGCAGGCTGTAGGGGCAAGCTCTGTCAGTAATTAGCGACTTGCAGCACCAGCAGCAGCGGCGCCGGTTACGGCCACCAATTTGGCACAAGAAGCACCATGCACGGCCACCATTGTCTTCTCACACACCCACCCACTCATCAACACCCCTACTCACTCACTCACCCACCCACTCATCAACACCCCCACTCACTCACCCACCCACTCATCAACACCCCCACTCACTCACTCACCCACCCACCCACACACTCACTCACTCACTCACCCGCCCACCCACCCACACACTCACTCACTCACCCACCCACACACTCACCCACCCACACAAACACTAACTCACTCACCCCCCCACCCACACACCCACTAACTCAATCACCCACCCACCCACACACTCACTCACTCACCCACACACCCACTAACTCACTCACCCCACCACCCACACACCCACCCACTCATCAACACCCCCACTCACTCACTCACCCGCCCACCCACTCATCAACACCCCCACTCACTCACTCACCCGCCCACCCACCCACCCACACACTCACCCACTCACTCACTCACCCCCCCACCCACACACTCACTCACCCACTCACCCACTCACTCACTCACCCCCCCACACACCCACTAACTCACCCACACCCCCACTCACTCAATCACCCACACACTCACTCACTAACCCACCCACTCACTCACTACCCGACACACTCACCCACTCACCCACCTAGTCACAAACCCACTCACTCACCCACTCACTCACTCACCTACTCACCCACTCACCCCCCACACCCCCCACACCCCCCACACCCCCCACACCCCCCACACCCCCCCAACACCCCCACCCCCTGCCGAACCTGTAGACGCAGGGTGTGGTGCGCCGCCGACCGCTCGTCGCGCAGCTCCTCCTCCGAGAAGTCGAGGTTGCTGAACCTCACGCTGAACGGCACCACGTGACGCCCCCTCCCCTGCTCCTCCTTCGTCTTCACCTCCTCCACTTGCTCCTCGGTGGGCAGGAGGTTGGCGAGTGGCTCGCCGGACGGGATGAGCGAGGGCGTCTCTCTGTCTCCGTGTCCCAGTGTCTCTCTGTCCCCGTGTCCCAGCGTCTCTCTGTCCCCGTGTCCCAGCGTCTCAGTGTCTCCGTGTCCCAGCGTCTCAGTGTCCCCGTGTCCCAGCGTCTCAGTGTCCCCGTGTCCCAGTGTCTCTCTGTCCCCGTGTCCCAGCGTCTCAGTGTCCCCGTGTCCCAGTGTCTCAGTGTCCCCGTGTCCCAGTGTCTCAGTGTCCCCGTGTCCCAGAGTCTCTCTGTCCCCGTGTCCCAGAGTCTCTCTGTCCCCGTGTCCCAGAGTCTCTCTGTCCCCATGTCCCAGCGTCTCAGTGTCCCCGTGTTCCAGTGTCTCAGTGTCCCCGTGTCCCAGTGTCTCTCTGTCCCCGTGTCCCAGTGTCTCTCTGTCCCCGTGTCCCAGTGTCTCAGTGTCCCCGTGTCCCAGCGTCTCTCTGTCCCCGTGTCCCAGTGTCTCTCTGTCTCCGTGTCCCAGTGTCTCAGTGTCCCCGTGTCCCAGTGTCTCTCTGTCCCCGTGTCCCAGTGTCTCTCTGTCCCCGTGTCCCAGTGTCTCTCTGTCCCCGTGTCCCAGTGTCTCTCTGTCCCCGTGTCCCAGTGCCTCAGTGTCCCCGTATCCCAGCGTCTCTCTGTCCCCGTGTCCCAGTGTCTCAGTGTCCCCGTGTCCCAGTGTCTCTCTGTCCCCGTGTCCCAGCGTCTCAGTGTCCCCGTGTCCCAGTGTCTCAGTGTCCCCGTGTCCCAGTGTCTCAGTGTCTCCGTGTCCCAGAGTCTCTCTGTCCCCGTGTCCCAGAGTCTCTCTGTCCCCGTGTCCCAGTGTCTCTCTGTCCCCATGTTCCAGTGTCTCAGTGTCCCCGTGTCCCAGTGTCTCTCTGTCCCCATGTTCCAGTGTCTCAGTGTCTCCGTGTTCCAGTGTCTCAGTGTCCCCGTGTTCCAGTGTCGCTCTGTCCCCGTGTCCCAGTGTCTCTCTGTCCCCGTGTCCCAGAGTCTCTCTGTCCTCGTGTCCCAGTGTCTCTCTGTCCCCGTGTCCCAGTGTCTCAGTGTCCCCGTCTCCCAGTGTCTCTCTGTCCCCGTGTCCCAGTGTCTCTCTGTCCCCGTGTCCCAGCGTCTCAGTGTCCCCGTGTCCCAGTGTCTCTCTGTCCCCGTGTCCCAGTGTCTCTCTGTCCCCGTGTCCCAGTGTCTCTCTGTCCCCGTGTCCCAGTGTCTCAGTGTCCCCGTGTCCCAGTGTCTCTCTGTCCCCGTGTCTCAGCGTCTCTCTGTCTCCGTGTCCCAGCGTCTCTCTGTCCCCGTGTCCCAGTGTCTCTCTGTCCCCGTGTCCCAGCGTCTCAGTGTCTCCGTGTCCCAGCGTCTCAGTGTCCCCGTGTCCCAGTGTCTCAGTGTCCCCGTGTCCCAGTGTCTCTCTGTCCCCGTGTCCCAGTGTCTCTCTGTCCCCGTGTCCCAGTGTCTCTCTGTCTCCTCGTCCCCCTGTCGTCTCTGTCTCCATTGCGCCGGGGGCTGTGTGTCTGTCTGGGAGGACAAGAGGCGGCAGTGGCAGCGGTGCCAACGGAGGTGCAGGTGATGTTGGTGGTGATGGTGGTGGTGGTGGTGATGGTGGTGATGGTAGTGGTGGTGGTGATGGTGGTGATAGTTGTGGTGGTGGTGATAGTGGTGGTGGTGGTGGTGGTGATGGTGGTGGTGATGGTGGTGATTATGGTGGTGATGATGGTGGTGGTGACGGTGATGATGCTGGTGATGGTGGTGAATGCGGGTGGTGATGGTGGTGTTGATGGTGGTGGTGATGGTGGTGATGGTGGTGATGGTGGTGGTGATGATGGTGGTGATGGTGGTGATGGGGGTGATGGTGGTAATGATGAAGGTGGTGAAGAAGGTGGTGATGGTGCTAACAACGGACGTGCAGGTGCTGAAGGTGGTGATGGTGGTGATGGTGGTGGTGAGGTTGGGGATGATCGCTAATAATGGCGATGGCGGCGATGATTGCTGTGATGGCTCCCACTCCCTCCCATTCCTCCTCCACCCGCTGACCTTCTTTATCCGGAGAATCGACGTAGCCCAGAGTGTCAGCAGACACCGAGGAAGAGCCATCACCACCCCCTGCGTCCGCATCAGCAACGGCGTTGATAAACTGCACAGCACAAACAGCGAACACAGATATACCTACACAAACTTCAGATCTATGCAGATATACCTCGCCAGGTGTAAGGCCACCACCGAGCTGCCCTCTAGCCCTTTCTACAGAGGCCGACCTGGGCCAACACAAATGAGTCGCAGCTCAACGGAGTGTCATCGTCCTAATTATCGTCGTCATCGTCGTCCTCGTCGCCACGTGGAAATGTTAAGCGGCAACCAAATACTTCTATAGATGCATTGCGACGTTGATTCTAAATGACGAAGGGGTGAAAATTTATCGGAGAACTCTGGAGAAAAATCCACGCAGTGACAACCACGGGGAAAGCGAGAGAGACATAGGGGTCAGGGTCAAGATCGAACCCACGACCTCCTGTATACCAGGCAAAGAAGTTAACATCTCCTATCACACTTTGGTGTCATGGTCAGGATTCGAACCTACGACCTCCTGCGTAGCCAGGCGAGGTAGTTAACATCTCCTATCACACTTTGGTGTCAGGGTCAGGATTCGAACCCACTACCTCCTACATGCCAGGCTGGGTAAATAACATTGTACAAAAACTGAAGAGAAACCATCACCAAGTTTGTATTAGCCACACAATGGTTGCTCGTGGTAGAAAATGCTAACAAACATGCTCTACCAATAATGCTCTATTCTCCTTGGAACTGATTGGCCTACACCAGAGCAACAGGAGCCTCCTTCATGGCGTGGTTTCACCATCGGTGTTAGACAGCAGAATAACGCCAAAAGGCGATCAGAACAAATGCAATGCAAACATAAAAGCATTATCAGCATGGCGTTGAACAGATCTATATATATAGACGGGAGAAGCTCCTCTCAACCACGGTTATTGGTTCCTAGAAACCGGTCCTTAAGTGATTTGGTCGTTAAGGCAGAGAAGGGAATAGACATCAAAAGCTGAATTCGTTCCGATGGTATCGAAAATTTCCCCCGTTTCACCCAAATAACGCATTTTATACTATTTAAACAATGGATATCGATGCATACAGATACCAACTACGTTATAAACACATAATGTTAAAAGAAACACGGTTAATAAATGCATCAATTATTATTTACTTGTACCTACAGTGAGGGAAAAAAAGTATTTGATCCCCTGCTGATTTTGTACGTTTGCCCACTGACAAAGAAATGATCAGTCTATAATTTTAATGGTAGGTTTATTTGAACAGTGAGAGACAGAATAACAACAAAAAAAATCCAGAAAAAACGCATGTCAAAAATGTTATAAATTGATTTGCATTTTAATGAGGGAAATAAGTATTTGACCCCCTCTCAATCAGAAAGATTTCTGGCTCCCAGGTGTCTTTTATGCAGGTAACGAGCTGAGATTAGGAGCACACTCTTAAAGGGAGTGCTCCTAATCGCTGGGAGAGGCATCTCACGGTAATCATTTGAAACTCTATGCCCCGCCCTCTCTATGCCCCGCCCTCTCTATGCCCTGCCCTCTCTATGCCCCGCCCTCTCTATGCCCCGCCCTCTCTATGCCCCACTCTCTCTATGCCCCGCCCTTTCAAGTGGTAAGAGTTTCATTCATTGGCAGTTAATGGTTGCAGAGATACAGCGATTTCAAATCGGGTCCATCTTTTTCAAACACCCTGTACTATACAATATACTACATTATGCACTACACATTGGGCTCTATGGAGGCCCGTCGTTAAGCAATCAGTCCTTAACAGGGTTGGTCGTGAAGAGAGGTTTTACTATTCACGACTATGCATTACACTACTTTACACTACTATATACACTACACGATACACGACTATACACTACACCACTTTGCAATACACTACACTTACTCTACACTATACACTACACTATACATCACAATATACACTACATTTCTATACACCTAAAACTACTATACACTCACTACCATATAAACTACACTATACACCACTACACTAGACTATACACAGCACTGATATGCATACTACACTGATATACACTACACTACTATACGCTAAACTACTATACTATACACTACTACACTAAGTTCTATATACTACTATATACACTACATTATACACTACACTGCCATACACACTTCACTGCTATACACTACACTAATATATAGTTATAAACTATGCTAATAAGCAATATACTACTGTACACTATATTGTACACTACACTACGCACTACTTTAGAATACACAACTATATACTACACTACTATACACTACAATACTATACACTGCACTACTATACACTACAATATTTACACCCCACTATGCACAACACTTCTATATACTGCACTACCATACATTACAGTATACATCACACTACTAGACTATACACTATAATACAATGTACACTACACTACCATACACTTCACTATACATTACACTATACACTACCATACACAACACTACCATGCACTACACTATACACTACACTAAGATACGGCGCACTATACACTACAGTATTATACACTGCACTACTATACACTACACTATCAATTGCACTACCATACACTGCATTATACACTACTATACTGTACATTATACTTTACACTACACTCATGTACACTACACTATACATTACACTACTATAACTAACTATAGACTACACTACTGTACACTGCACTACTATACACTACACTCTACACTAATATACACTATGCTATACACTACTATACAATTCACGACTATACGCTACACTATTACACACTACACTATTATACACAACACTATACACTACACTATCCAATACACACATGCGTACGTACCTCAGCTGTGTCATCGCTGAGCTCCAGGTTCTCGCCTGGACCCATGACCTCTTCCTCGGCAAGATGCGCAGGGAATCCTGGAGGGAAAAAAAAACCAGAAAAAGAAAAAAAACTTCATCATCATCAATCTTGATTTGAAGCTTTCGTGACTGCAGGAATCCAAACTCTTTGGTTCTTTCGGTAAAGTCACGTGGTAGGTAG